CGAAATTGAACAACAGTATCGCATTTCTATCTTAAAAGACCTGGCCTGAGATTTATGGATTTAAGATTTTTTTTTTAAATCACGCTTAGGCCTATGTGTTCTATTAGCCTATGTATAACGTGTACTGATGCATATTTACATGTTTTAGAAGTATTCATTTTGAGTGATCCCTGGAAAGGATTTTTATTGGCTCAAGAATAAGCTTTAAAATTTTAACACTGTGTACAAAGAGGGGGGGGGGGGGGAGCCGCGGCTCTCACAGATACGTCCCTGATTGCCTCTCGTTTTAATGCCAATATTTCGTTAATCCAACCAGGGAGAAAACAACAAGTCCCTCTTTACAATTCCCTGCTCTAGTTTTAACCCACAGTCACAAATGGACCCCTCTCCACCAATGAACCTGGAAGTCGGCAATCACCCACTCCTATCCAGGATTTTCCCTGATCTTCGCACAGATGGAGGTCTTTGTAGTGTTGGATCTAGAAATTCGAAATAGAAGGGGTCGGGGCAGAATGGACGTTCATAGACAGACAACCAACCATGGTGGGGCTGAGGTAAGAAAAAAATAAGATTATGTTGCCTCTAGATGGCTGGAAATGGCACTCTCAGAATTTGAATATAATTTTCATTTTTTCCCCTCCTTTTCTCTATTCTTTTAAAATAGTTTAGAACTGTTTTACGGGGCCCGGGCCGGTGGGGTTCCCCTTGAATCCGCCATTACATGTGGGATTCCTCTAATGCTCAGGTGACCTAGGGTTTTAAAACAAATAATTGCTAAATTAAGGCATTTCTATAAAAAGATAAACGAACAGCCTATTCTTGAGACAGGAATATTGCTGAAGACAATAATTAAGCCAACTATATCTTGGTATCTTTTATATATATAAAAAAAAAAAACAATCACATATAAAATTCAAAAAATAGCAGCACAAGCTGAATTACAATTTGAATGTACAAAATTAATAAATCAGAATAAGATTAATAAATGAGTAGGCCTATATACAAATCATTGAGACATTAATTTGGCAAAATGGCAATAAAATTTTACAATAATATTAATAAGTTAGTACTGTATAGACTAGGCCTACATATCAATAATTGAGGCATAGATTTAAATTGGCAATATACCAATTACAATGGGCAAATACAATATAGTTACAATTAATATTCAAAAATAAATACAAAAAAAAGCAAACAAGACAATTTACTGCAATCAAATTTCAATATATAGGCCTACAAGTCTATAAATTATTTATATACTGTACCAAGCTATCAGTAAGATTAATTTAAATTTACAATATCCAAATATCAGCGCTAAATACAATTCGATACAAAAAAGTTGTAATATACAAAAAAGAAAACACACAAACAGGGCAATAACCACAAGAAAAAAAAGCATAGGGGCCTACGAGAATTTACCAAAATTTCAATATTATATTCAAGTTAGGAAATTCATTCATAAAAAAAATTATTCTTTAGCCAGTGATTAAAAATAAATAAATAAATAAATAGATAAAGGCTTACAAAAAATTTTAATTAAGATGCACACCGGAGTTATGTGAATTTCCGATTACCTAATTAAGATGCACACCGGAGTTATGTGAATTTCCGATTACCTAATAAGAAGATAGGTTAAAAAGCGATTGCCTTAAAAGCGATATCGAAAAATGTTTTTTTTTTTTTGTGTTTTTTTTTTGTCTTTTGTGGGGTTATCCCACTTTTATTTCTTCTCACATTTCATCATTAAATAATTTACAATTAATAGGTTTTATGTGGTACTGTGAAAATATCCAATATGAGTATTTACAGAGATAAAAATCACTTTTCTTTAAAATGGGTCAATCCATCGTGATGGCTAACTATTATTTCTTTAATTAATTTCATAGTAACGTACGACATTTAAATATATGTTTTCAATGCGTTCCTTTTATATGTATATTTTTCCCATTATATTCTACTAACCTTTTTTTAATATAAATAATATACATACATACATATACTTTGTACTCGCATACATGTCAGGATGACAAGTAGCTTACATTAATCAAATATTGATCAGAAATCCTAGGCATATGTCAACATACCAACATACAACCACACTCACGTTAATATTCGCATACACATACCTATATGTGCAATACCCACACTTACACAATAAGCATATTGGGGCCTATAAATGAAGAAGTTATCTATATACACATAACTCCATAATGCCATTTTAATTTTTTTTTTTTTTACATTTTAAATTTTATTTAATAACTTTCTGTTATAATACTCTATTGAAAATAAGGTGGCAGTGGAATTAAGCTTCCATTTACCATGTGCTTTAACGTTCGAGCCTTGTATATACAGAATGCTCCAAGACTACAGATATCATCTAAGAATCTGTTGCCTGTACCTAGTACAATTTTATGAAAGGACAGTGGTGTTTGTAATTTGAATCTATAATTAATAAAATTCCACATTACTCTTGCTTCTTTACATTCAAAAAAATAATGTAATTCATCATCCAGTACATTGCATTCAATACACCGATTATCCTTAACAATCTTATATTTAAATAATAATTTTCTTGTAAGTACAATCATGTGAAGTAACTTAAAGTTCAATTGCCTAATTGCATTATCCTTATTATTTTTGAGTTTACTGCGCCATGTGTGTATCCAGTCTCTGTTTTCAGTCTTCAGCAAAATTTCCCATTTCCGTTGGGTTTGAACAGGAGGCTTCGCAGTACTCTTTAGTAACAAACAATAAATTTGATTTGTTGTCATTTTTAGAATGGGGTTTCTAATACTTGTATGCTTGGGCATATCCTTTTTACTTACTACATTTTTTGTTAATACACTCTTCCACTCTTTAGGAATGGCTTTTAACAAACATGAATATTCTGACATCCAGTTATGTTTGGCATTCAGTTTATTTCTAAGCTCAAGAGATGGGAGAACATTGTTTTTTTTATGATGTCTTTAACCTTTAACATTCCTGAATTTATCCAATTCCGGTAGTATACAGTTATTATTTATACACACAAATTTGTTTCCCCAGAAAAATTGTTCAGCAATATCACTGAAACATTTGGGATATAAAAACTGCATATCATTGACATGTGACATTGCCTTTAAAATAGAAATATAGAAGGGGGGGGGGGTATTTTAATACATGTATGTAATTTTGTAAAATTTGAGATAAGGCAAGTTGGTCCAATTTTCTCAAAATATTTTAATGGCAGGAATTTCCATTTCGCATTCTCGTTATCGTGTAAACGTTTAAACCACTTAACTTTAAAAGACATTACTTGCCACTTAAAATCAGTCACTCTTAGACCCCCATGTTCGTAATCTCCGTGGTACTTCTTTTTATTTTATCTTTTTTTATTTTTCCAAATGAACTTAAAAATAATTTTTTCAACATCTTTGATAATACTTTCTGGTACCTCAAGAATTCTAGCATTATAAATAAGCTTTGATAATGCAAGAGTTTTAATGATCGTTATTCTACCAAAAACTGTTAGATTTCTTTTCTCCCATGTTCCGTAGTTAATACTTTTTTCAGTGATTCAACTTTTTCTTTCCAATTCTTTTTGTAACAGAAGTCCTTGTCATGACCTACATGAATACCAAGAATTTTAATCGGTCTTGTTGTCCACGATATATTACCTGGTTTACTTTTACAGTCTTTTAATCTGCCTAACCACAAGGCATTTGTTTTCCCTTTATTTAATTGTAAACCAGACATTTTAACAACTTGTTCAATCACCTCAATGTTTTTGGTGATACTTTCTGTGTTTTCAGAAATAATACCGTGTCATCTGCCAATTGTGCTATTTTAACACTTTCATCATTGTCTGTACCAGAAGGGATATCAATACCCTTAATTGTTTCAGTTGTTCTTATTTTCGTTGCGAAGTATCTCGGCAACGAGTATGAAGAGGAGTGCTGATAGAGGGCAGCCTTGCCTTATACCTTGTTTCATAGTGAAGCTTTCTGACACCCTGAGCCAGAATTAGTGAATATCTGTATTTTTACATATTGTTTTTACCCATTTTATAAAAGAGTCTCCGAAGTTGAATTTACCTAAGGTTGCTATTAAAAAAGTTTTGTTAACCGTATCAAAAGCCTTCTTGAAATCGAGGCTTTAGGTGGTTCCTTCTAATTGTTCATTATCCATGTAATTGATTATATCTTCTGTTAATCGTATGTTTTCGCCCCCAAACCTGCCATTTACGTAACCTTTTTGATCATTATTAATAATTGATTTAATAACTAATTGCAGTCTTTTTGTCAGTACAAATGTAGCAATTTTATAATCATAATTGAGTAATCGGTCGCCAATTATTCAAATCATGATGGTCACCTTTTTTATGAATTAAATTTATGACACACAAAAACGCAAAATGTTAATTCATATTAATATCAGACACTCTGAAAAGTATTTTTTTGAAATAAACACTAAAAAACTTGACTGACTATCCAACGATGTACTTACTTGTTACTTGTTACTTGTATAGCGCCTTTCTTTTCAGTTACGAAGCGCACGGTAAGCGACTCTCCACAATAGTCAAAAACGTCCCCCCTGAATATAAAGCTTGCATAGAACCAAACCCGTGCAAAGTCAGCTAATTAACTTACTAATGCAATAAAGCAGTAGAAAAGATGTACTACTGTGGTTTATGCATATAGGCCTATTATTGAATGATGAGATAATGATGATGATATGATGATGATGATGATGACTCATGTTCACAAACTCCTATGTATGTCATGCCCATGCAACAACATCGCCGCTGACATACACAAAATGTACGACTCCGAATTGTGGTTAAACGTTTGTCATTTACTGTAGGGACCAAAGCTTTAACAGTCAAAATCACGAGTAAATTTAGAGACTAGGCTAGACTGTTTGGAAAAACATTGAGAACATGATCGACTGTTGGAGTTTGGGAGTCATTGATGCGTGACTAACCTTCCCATCATTCGTTCATCCTGTAGGACGTAAGAACACAACCAAAGACACAACACACAGCGTGCTGTTGCTAGGGAAGAGTTGCTGTGTTTTGCAATCATAAATATGTTCCAAGTTCATTTCAAGTTAATAAAACATGATCAAAAATTTGGCAAATTATAAATTGTGAATCAATTGATGTAAAGTATAAAAAAGGTTTGTGTTTTCTTTCTGAGGTTAGGCCTGGATTAAAAAATAATGTGTAGGCCTAGGCTAGCTAGGGGGCCTAGGTTATTATTATACTAGGCCTAGGCCTGGGCCTAGACTAAGCCTCGCCTAGCTAGCTTGGCTAGGCCTAGACTCCTTTGTTGTAGTAGATAGGCTATGCTAAGGCCAGGCCTACTGTAACTAGCCTAGGCCCTAGTAGGGACTGTAGGCCTTAAGGCCTTATACCGTGAAATCTCGAATTAAAGCCCTGGGCTTTTTTTTTTTTTTTGTGAACTTTGGATGTAAACAATCCTAGACTAGCATAAACATAGAGCCTAACTAGGCCTAGCTACGTCTCTAGGGCCAGTGTAACATCGATCTGTGTCATGGAGTGTGCCTAGACCTATTGTTATGTTCCGAGTTCATATATTTAAGCTAGCCTAGCTAACAAAACATGATCAAAAATTTGGCAAATTATAGATTAGATATTTAAGAATAGATGTAATAATAATAAAGGCTAGGCATAAGGTTCTTTGTTTCCTTTTTGAGGTAGGGAGCCTGGTTTAAAAAATATTGACATAGTGTTATTAGGCCTAGGCTGGCCTTGCTACTCAGGCCTATAGAATAGTTACGTAGAGTCCCATAGTGTTAAGTTTTTTTAATTGGGAGGAGGATTTCTAAAAGATATGTTCAAATTTTAAGAGAAAAGGTGCGCAAAGTCGTAATTGGCATCACAATTTGTAACATGCCTAGATCAGGCCCAAAGGCGATCAGGCCCAGGAAGATCGGGCCCAAATTTCTGGATCAAAAACAGTTTAGAAGCCCTTGCGCATGCTGTGACATTTTATCAAATATTTATTTTCTATTACTAAATAGATTTGTGCAATGTCATTGGAAGGATCAAAGGCAGCCACTCCGATAGCTGCTGCAGAGCAGGACGCAAGTGGAGCAACACCACAACCAGATACACATTTAAGTACCACCAGTGGTACACCGCATCCTCCTTTGGAGAATGGATTACCCGGAAAGAATGGGGACAGCCCAGATGCTATGAAAATTGAGACTGGCTCTGAAGTCAGTAGGTTAAGTGCAATGTCAGGTACCAGTATGTTACCTATTTTAGTGTGTTCCACAAAAAATTTACTTAAGTGGATTTAATATCACTCCATCCAATATCTTTGGGCTTTTTTGCTTCATTGACAGAGAATTTAATAGCATACTTTTAAGGCAATTAAACGTTACAGTGCTATTACCGGTATGTGCAATGTGATGCACAGAATAATATTCCAATAAAACTTTGACTACTCATGCATAATTATAGGCATTCATTCAAATATCAATTTCGCTTATACATGTAGTTGAAGCAGTGTGTAAAATCTTGCATGATACATTTATACTTTGCCAAGGAAAAAACTATCAGCTTCCTTCCTTAGGAACATGTTATGATCTGATAGTTGCTCTTTTCTCAAAATAGAATTTTTTTCAATGCCACAAAAAAAGAGAAAAACAGAAATCATCACATTATTAAGTACTTGGTAAAAAGTGGATTAGTCAGCTGACAGTGTGTGTGCTCGGATTAACACATATTTTTCAAAATTTCCGTAGATGGTACAATGTTGTCATACATTTTTTATGTTTTGGATTTGTTAATATTTTATGCTACTCTAGGTAATGTGAATGGAGTTTCAGAAGATGATACTCTGGCTATGAATTCTCTTGGACTTTCAAATGGCCCCATGAGTCAAAGAACTAGCAGACCCACATCTGTAGCTCCCCCAGAACCAACATCTCAACCTGTTGATTTTGTAAGTACTCATGATGAATTAAAGTAAGCCAGGCGTGGGGACAGTGAGCAGCCTGCACTGGAGATGGGGGGGGGGGGGGGCATGTCGGGAAGGGAAAAAAAACATGTGGTTTGGGAGGGAAAAAAGATTTTACTGGTTGTTGCTCTAGTATGATTTTACTGATTGATGCTCTAGTATCGAATAAATAAGCCTTTAAAATCCCTAAATTGTCATAGATTCCGGGGCTTCCACTGACCAGACCCACTTATGCTTTCCTTAAGGATATCAGCATATGGATCATTTTAACTGCTGTTTGTATTACACACACAGAATAATATTTACCAGTGGTATGCCACTTTGATATGTGATATCTTTTAATATTGAATTACATTATATAAATTTACTGTAGTAGATTATTCTATGTTTTAGTATTGCGGGTTGTGGTGACAGTGGCTGCGCTAGGGGGACTACCCCCCGTCGGGGAAGGCTGGCGCCCCTCCCGTGAGGGAGAAAAACCACAATTTTCACTGAGAAAAAAAAAGTTAATAGACTCTAAAATTTATTAAATTAGCCTTTGAAACCCCTAAATTGTCATATTTTCGGGAGGCTATATCCCCGGACCACTTTCGAAAGGTTTTAGTGATGCCCAACCACACCCACTTTTTTACCGTCGGGGACATCGATCCTCCCACCTCCCGTCGGGGACCTTGGATTCCCTGTCGGAAATCCACTGGGTGGTGATGATGAGGATAATTGTTATTTGATCCAGTAGCATTTATGATTTTTTTTTTTTTTTCAGAGGAGGTATGTTAAAGAAAGAGCCACATTACAAACTCTTAAAGAAGACCTATGGACAGAGCAACACTATGAAACAATAGACAGCTTCTTCAGCTCATCGTCGCACACCCGTCTTTTAGTTGTGTATGTTGACCCACAAATAGGGCTGTGCTTAGACCACCAGGTGCCCCCAAATCTTACAGAGGATATGGCGTACTTTATTAAACAGGAAAGTGGAGTGGAGTTAAATGCTGCTAACATTATGAAGTCCATTCAGTATGGTACAGTGAAGCCAGGGCATATTGACAGCTTGCTGAGGCTGATGCAAAGTATATATGCTCCACTTTTCTTGGAAAACACGTCCTGGCCCGACAGTATCCTTTCCTGCAATTATTTTAATAAGCAATTAGTAGAGTTGCTTATAATACACTAGTGGGAATTATTATACCAAGGTGAGATTAATGCTTGCTAAAAATTCTTGAGGGCCTCCAAGGTCCGAAGGTATTTTCAGCTCTGATGAGGAGCTGTAGGAATACTCGGCTAATTGATTAATAGATCTTTTTTGTGCTGCTTGCTTAATAGATCTTTTTTTAAATTGGCGGTTGTTAGGGCCAATTATTTTTATTATTATTATTCGCTCCGATTATTTTTATTATTATTATTAGCTCCGATGAGAAGCTCTAGAAACACTCGGCTAAACCTCACTTCTTATTTTTATTGTTGTTGTTGTTATATATAAACTAGAGGTGATTCCAACAAATGTTCATGGCCCTTTTTTTAAGTTGGACCCCAGGGTCCCCCATACACCTGCAACATGTGTCAGCAAGGACTGTACATTACTGCCATTAGGGCCAATTATTTTTATTATTATTAGCTCCGATGAGAAGCTCTAGAACACTCGGCTGCTTGATTAATAGATCTTTTTTCGTTCTGATGAGGAGCTCTAGGAATACCCAGCTGATTGATTGATTTTTTTGCTAATTGATTAATAGACCTTTTCTGTATGGGCAGCCGTTAGGGCCAATATACTCTTATCTAAGCTTTTGAGAGTACGAGACCTGGTTTGAATGCATTAATCTAACCTAAAGTATAATAATTTGGTCTCATATATAGATAAGCATTCTACTATAGTAGTTGCTTTATAAGTCAATCGCCATCATTTAATGTTAGTTTTGGTAATCAACTCTTGTGGCAGTCGTCGGTTTGTATAGTGATATGTAAGCTCCTGTTATTCAAACTGTAGGTAAGGGTCCAAACTAGGGTTCCAAAGTGAAAACAGTATGATTTGGTTGCCAAACATTCCAGGCTCACTCGCATTTGGCTTTGAATTACCCGGAATTCCCAGTATAAACAGTACCAATTTTGATTCTGAGTTGTACTGTACAAGGCCTTAGTTGGCACCTACCTTGACATAATGGCCTTTAAAAATTCAATGTAATTATTACCAATGAAAATAATAATTCTAATAACAGTAATAATGTTGCAGCGCATAAACATAAAAGCGAAAATAAAGTAGAGAATAAAGTAACAGACTGAGAATAAAATCAAAAAAATGACCTAAAACTAACATTCATCTGGACCTTAAATTAGTCTTTACGTGCCTGCTTGCTTCTTCATGTTTGACCTTTACACTTTATAAACAGGTATTAGAAATGATTTCTCAGCTCAGCTTCACCGTTTCATGGCCAGTGTGACGGACACGCATTACAAGATGCAGGGCCACACCGTATTGTATATTCCAAATGAAGGTCTTAGCATGGAGATTGTCAAAGCTGCCAAAGATAAAGAACTTGTACAGAGACTTGAAAGTAGGTTTTCCTTTAGAAATCATTAATGTTTTTAATAATCTATGCAAACAGCAGATTAGCAGTCTCCATGCAGTATAATAACCTTTTCCGACAAAAATCTGACGATAACCATCATTGTTCATTTGCAGCTGCGATGGTGCATTGGACAAGACAAATCAAAGAGGTGTTGGCCTCCCAGGATGCAATTGAGACCTCAGAAAATGCTGGTCCATTGGAAGAGATTGAGTTCTGGAATAATCGTTGCATTGATCTGTCCGGTATTAGTGAACAGTTGCAGAAGCAAGGCGTGATTCAGATCCAGGCAATCCTTGAGCAGTCTAAATCCTCGTATGTGACTCCATTCAGAAAGCTCTCCAAGCTTATTCAGGTATTGTAGCCATTGCACTGCTCCCATAGCAGATATCAAGCTCCACTCTTGGAGCAACTGAACTGAATACGATCACATCTCCCAACTGCATAATAATAATAGTGTAAACTTATAAAGCTCCGGTATCAGTTTAAGGGAAAACGCTCATGGCGCCCCTCCACAAGATGTCAAAATATGACAGAAAAGACATAGTGATAGCTTAAGAACCAGAAAAAACAGTTATATTAAATGATCTGTACTTGGGTTGGCATCACTCTCTGTATGTAGCCATGTATGCACAGATACTATACACACAATGTGGAATGCTGGGCTCCAATAGTTTCCGCCTCAGGCTCTGCTGTGTGCACCTCCTAGGCAATGCTGATCCTAGTAAGGTAGGTGTAAGAAAAAAAAAACCCTCCTACCTGAGCAAAATCCGTAATTGAGGAACATTTGACATTCAGGAATTTTTGTATAGTTTCTCAGTGATCAGGCTTTAGGCCTACAGTGTGCTGTACATAGGGCTAAGCATTGCACAGACAGGAACCAAACTCCCAGGGTATCTTGGCTACAAAATATGACTTTGATTTTACTGTTTTCTGCAGCAGAATATTACTGTACAGTAGTCAGAAATGTCTTACAGTACTGTCATGTAATCGTTTTATGATTTTTTGATAAATACAAGACCATTAAAAGGTGAAACAATATTCCCTTTGTATTTATCATTAATTTGTTTACTACAATTATTAACCATACCACTTTGAACAGCACTACCAACAGGTGGAAAGCAGTTTCCATTCACTCAGTGAGTCGCCCAGTATCACCTGGTCTGTATCACTCCATACCTGGTTATGTGCTACCTCTAACAAGCATGCTCTGATTGGAATATATCTTGGAAAAATTGATATTTCTTGCTTTGAAGGAAGTTTCTGTCTATAAATGGGTTTTTTTTTTTTACACATGCAATTTTAAATGTTTTGGTTGTTATAATAGACTGTTCATAATGACATCATTGCCAAAAGTCTTCTTAGTAAAATAGAGAGTTTGTATTTTGGAGATTCATAATTTGAAAATTGTCTTAGGATGGGTCAGCCAAGGCGCAGAGCAACCTGAAGTTCCTGTCCACTTTGTCTGCTGATTGTGAAGAGCTTGCTAAGGCTAGGCCTGCTGATATTCCTCCACTTCTTCCAAAACTCATCAATAAGGTGCGCATGATCTGGGTCAACTCTGACTACTACAAAAGCAGGGAGAGATTAACAGGGCTTTTCAGAAAGGTGAGAAATTCTATCAAAGCAATAGGATTTGACATACTTCATCAACCAAATTAAGCAACAGGATTATCCGATTTACAACTTAATCCACAGTTTAAATGAGACTATCTGGATTATGCCTAAATTAACAAGTGAGATCTGATTTGCTCCTTAATTTATAGCGAAGCAATGAGATTACTTGATTTATTCAATTCACAGCTAAGTACAATGATTTTGTCCTACTCCTTTAATACACAGCTAATCAATATGTTGTCTATTTACTCCTTAATTAACAGATTATCCAATCTAATCTACAGCTAACCAATAAGATTATCTAATTTACTTCTTAATACATGTTTAGCCAATGAAATTATACAATTTACTTTTTTTATCTGTAGCTAAGTAGTGAGGTTATCTCACTCCTTTATCCTTGCTAATATTAAGCAAAGAGAATAAATTTTTACTATTTAATCCACAGCTAAGCAATGAGATTATCCGTAGATGCTGCAAGGAGATTAACTTAGAAAAGCTGTTTGATGGCAATGTAGTGACAGCTACCAAAAGTCTGAAAGAATGCATTGGGTGTTGTGAAAGCTGGAAAGAAACATATCGATCGGTAAGTATTTCTAAATTCTAAGCCTCTTCCTCTTCCATCTTATTTCTTTTCGTATTCGCTTTCAATTCTTTTTCTTTTCTTTCTCTTTCTCTTCCTAGCCTTACTCAAATTCTCTTTCTATTTTCTTCTTATTCTCTTCCCCTTCTTTTATTGCTTCATACATATTCTTTGCCTCTTTTTTACCGTCGTCCTATTTTGCTCTGTATTACATGTAAACTTGCTGGCAGCAATCACCAGAACTTAGACTCTGCCCCTGGAAGTTCAGGGAAGGACCCGGAAGTAATGATCTAAAAATAACATGTTGATAGAAATGATTTTCATTATGGTGGCGCCCTTTATGGTTTGGCATATAGGATGGAACTAGGCTCGCAGTTGTTGTGTTAATGACCCCTCCATACCCCATCCCTAAGTAAACTATGCATCATGGGAGGGACATTACTCCACTAAGGTCCTAATTACTTATATACCAGAACCTTAAACAAGTTATGCATCATACGCTAATGATCTGAATACCCCCAGAAAGCTGCCATTCAAGTGTCTAACTTACTCACTACAATCCTTCAACTGCCCCCTCATATAATATGCTGTCACAAAATTTTGTTTTAGATTCGTGCAATGCACCATCGATTTTCAGAAGAAGGCTGGGTGCTCGACCAGAGCAGTATCTTCGCCCAAGTAGAGGCATTTATTCAGAGGTGTCGAGATCTTTTGGAAGTAAGATGCACCACTAATATCATGTCATTTTTATTTGATTCATTTCAACAAAAACTGACAATTTTGTAGGAGGATTGCCAAAGAAGAGCTGTAATATAACACGCACAAAATGCATTATTCTATGACTTACTGATTCTAACCAGGCTAGAAAAAACGTAATTTTATAACATTGATAGAAAGTGTGAGAATGAAGTTACTTCCATAATTGGGACTTAATTGCCATGCCAAAACCAGCCTCAATGACCAAATCAGGAAAATTGACTTTTTAATATGATCATATTCTCCACAGTAAGCTTTAAAATGATAGGTCATTTATGGGGATTGACTTACTAACTTACCAAAGTTATGAGTAAAAGTATTATGGCTTTAATTTGTATTGAAGTATTTGGTATCAATTTGGTGAGAGTAGGCTGATTTTGGATTGGCAAGCCTCAAATACAGTTATTCGGGGGGGGGGTGTTTATTTGAGAAAAAATATAAAGTGTGGCATTTTATTTCAAATATATACGGTATGTTGCTAATTTAAATAGTACAGTATGAACTTAAAGATTATTATCCCATGCAAAATACCAAAACTACATCACAAAAATCATTTTTGAAATTAACTTGCTCATTTTGAAGTTAACATGAAGATTATAAACTTGGATATTAGTGTGTTTAAAAAACATTAACCCATAATTTTACAGCAAAAAATGATATAAACGCTTCCAGTAACTATTATTATTATTATTTTTAACATTATCGAGTTTGAAAATCAGAGTACAAATTTTTTAATTCAATAATTTCGAGTTTGAAAATCAGAGTACAAATTTTTTAAATTCAATAATTTCTATGCTTAAGTTAATAGTTTGTATGTAACTATAAAATGAGTAAATTAATTTCAAATTTTTATGTTTTTTGTTAATGTAGTCACAAATTTCTACTTTGTTAAACTGCTCAATCCTCAAAATATGTTTTCTTGGCTTTACCCACTACATCCACCTAATCAATGTTAACATAAAATATTTCATTTTTTAGGTTTGTGAATGCCAGAAGAACTTTGCTCGTCGTGAAGATGGTACAAAGACGCCAATGCCATACTTTGCTGGTCAACGTGGACCAGAGATCACGCGTAGTCTGTTAGAGATAGAAGGCACGTTTGAAAAGAATTTACAGATACTTCGAAACGTGAAGCACACAATTCTTGACGTGAAAGCAACTACATGGCATGATGATTACAACAAGTAAGATATAATGCTATGTCCAACTATTAAGCAATTAGTAGAGCTGCGCATAGTACACTAGGGGAAAATTATTATACGCAGGTTAGACTTAATGCTTGAAATATTTGAATGAATCTAACCTAAGTATACTAATTGCATTATAAGTCAATTGTCATCTTTTAATGTTAGTTTTGATACTTTAATAATTGAGGATTGTAATCCTAAAACCATCATACTCTCGCTAAAAGTTAAACTGAATAATTAGCATAAGATTTTGGCAGTATTGTATACATTTAAGTACAGAGAAGCTTAATACTTTTACTCATAATTTTGGCAATAATATGTCGATTCAGTATATGACCATTATTAAGCTTATAATGTGGAGAGTATGAATATATTAAAGTCAATTTTTTTATTTTGGTCACCGATGTTGGTTTTAGCATGGCAAGTCCCAATTTTAAAAAATTTCTTTCGATGTTAATTAACAAGATAGAACCAACTAGGCATGTTCCACTTTCTTCAACCAGGAAATTTATTTTGTTTTATAAAGATTCCGTGCCGGAATTAAAGATCTTGAGGTTATGGTCCAGAATGTGATTGCCACTGCTTTTGAGACTATCACCACGGTATCACAAGGGGTTGAACTTCTAGATGCCTTCCAACATCTTTCAGCAAGGGAAGTAAGTACACTGCTTTTGCAACTATTACCATGGTATCACAGGGGGTTGAACTCCTAGATGCTTTCCAACATCTTTCAGCAAGGGAAAGTACACTGCTTTTGAGACTATTAACACAGTGTCACAGGGGGTTGAACTCCTAGATGCCTTCCAACATCTTCAAGCAAAGGAGGTAAAGTACACTGCCTTCAAGACTATGACAGGTGTCATATTTTTAAAATTTTTGTACCTCAGTCCCAACCATCTTGGGACTGAGTTTGGTGTTGATCTGAGGTAGGTTACATCCACAACGAGGCACATAAAGGGACCACAACAATTTGAATGACTTAAAAAGTGACCTCAGTCTAGAAAACTTGAAAACCAGGTAGCTAGACGTGAAACTGTCCCCTGTCTGATACCATCCTGTTGAATTTTTTGTTTTCTCTTGCAGGCCATCAGGCGTACCATTGACAAAAAAACAGTGGAGGTGTATGGCATGTTTAATGATGAACTTAATAGTGTTAAGAAGGAGCTGACTCGTAAGAATCCATACCTCAACCCCAATATGCCCAAATATGGAGGTCAGGCGCACTGGGCTCGGTGTTTGCGCCGTCGTATTGACCGGTCAATGGCGGTAAGTAGAAAAGGGAAAATATCAACTTTCATTATGTATTTCATTATTAGTTATTAAAACCAATTGCTCCTTGATAGGAGCATCATCATTGTCATTCTCAGTTGAATGGAAGCAATAATTTATATTTGGCTAAAGGAATAGAAGCACTTATGTTAAATTTTATAATTTTCCTAGGTCATTAGATCCATAAGTTACCAAACCAGCAAAAAGTGCAAACTTCTACCTTAACTCCCTGTGAAGTATACCTATTCCTTCTCACAATGTTGATATATGCAACATAAATATAAATTTCTTGACGTCTGAAACTCTTTGAATACTGACCTTGAAAAGCATAAAAATGCTAAGTTTTCATTTGTGAAATGTCCCACTAAGTTTCAATCTGTATACAACTATTTCTTTGGTTTACTACTGAGACAATGAGATAGAACTTACCAACAGAGTAGATGCATTAGTTTTTTTTTTAATATGCAAAATTTATGACCAATTTTCTGTCAGGTGCTTGATAAAGCATATTTCCTACCCCATATCGGCACTGGAACTGAGACAAAGGCTCAGTATACCCAACTTAGCATCGCATTGGATGAGTTCATACGCAAGACATTCAACGAGTGGACAGAAACCGTAGACAAGGACTGTATGAAGCTACTGGAAGTGCCGTTGATGTGTCGTAGTACGGAGAGGATTGGAATGATGGATATCAACTTTGACAGGTATGTACTTCAACTGAAATTTTTATAGTATAATTAATAACTTGTGTTCAAGTCATTAGAGCATTTTTCCTGACATAGTATCTTTTCTCCCTTGTTTTTTGTTTTTTCTGCCATTTTCTTCATTCTTCACTATACCCCTCTTTCACTCTGTCCCTCACTCTCTCATACACTCAAAAAAAATTTGCTTTTCTTCTGATATATACTGTATATATATATATATAAGCCAACACGGCAAAATACTCGTAACAATAGATATATAAAGATATATATATTGAGATTGATTGAGAAATCATGCTCATATTCCTTATCTTATACCACATTAACTTATCCATAATTATGATAATATACTGTATTGATATCTTACAATTGTTCACATTTTCTTTTGCAGAACACTTCTGAAAATGTTTAACGAGATACATTACTGGGAACGCTTAATGTTTGAGATCCCTCATTACGTATCTGAAGTGTACCTCAAGAGAGAGGAACTACGGAGCTTGAGAGAGTTTGTCCTACTGGTAGTGAGGGACTACAATAGGTAAGATCATTCAAGAAAACACAAATAACAATATTTTTTTTATTGCCAAAGCCCTGTCCAGAATATCAAATTTTATTTGACACAAGATGTGACATGCCTAAATATGGTCATGATGTCATCACATTATGACCATATATAAGCAGATCATGACTATATATGGCCATACCACAGTTTCTTGTCAAAGAAAATTTGATAGGGTGGAGCAGAGCTTTCTAATTTCCTTTGTGTTTTCAACAATATTTTGTGAGGGTGGTCCATCTAGTCAGAGCTGACCAATTTGGACCCTCAGTACACACAATAAAAAACAAAATAAAACATCAAAATTCAACTAGGTACTTAACATTAACAAACTAATTTCAGTCCAAAAGGAAAACCATGCTTATTTTTCTATTTTTCAATAATGTATCAATCATCTTTAACCACTAGATATAATAATCAGTATTAGATATCTTCCATATACAATATATTTTTGTATACACTATTTGAAATATTTCATCTTGCGCAAGTTGTTGTGCCTTCATGCACTTCACAACATAATAAACAATAGTTTTTCTTTTTATATTTATTCACAAGAATATAAGAGACAGACCATTCTTCTAGCGTTAACTATTTATGGTATGAAGTGTCCATCTGTAGTACAATTTGTCCAAAACTATTTTACCATGAAAAAATATTTGTTTTACATGCAGAATCATAGCAGCGTTATCTGTGGAAGAGCGTGGGCTGTTCAAAGAGCTTATACGTCACCTAGATAAAAAGATACATCCTGGCCTAACCAAGCTTACCTGGGCCACGAAAGGAATCACTGACTTCTACATCGGTGAAAGCCGACAGCACTCACAAAAGGTAATGTGTGATGACAAAAATGAACTGCTCTGAAAGTCCTACCTCAATACCATGCCAAATAAAACAGCCATATTTCAAGTTGAATTTAAAAAAAACATTGCCTTAAAATTAATTTTTTCTTACTTAACATGAGGTACATGTGCAATTACACTACTTTCTAAATTAATTCCAAAACTATCCGGGGATTCCTATCACCATTCCATCTGATCTTTGTCCCATGCTTACTGGATTCCTGTCACCATGTCAACCTGATCTCTGTCACCATGCTCATCTAATCCCCATCTCCATTCAACCGGAAGGCTTTCACCATGCCAACCCTTGTTTTGCTGTTTAATCAATGTTGATTACAGTATAACACATTTAGTAAGCACATGTTTATAAAACAGAGAATAATAAATATTGAATTTATAATTACTTGTGGTTTAGGTCCAATCGATTGTGGATGACTACAAGATGGCCAATCTGACGATATCTCGCAATTGTCAGATGATCAGTGAGATGCTGCTGGTGCGTATTGACAGCAAGCGGGTTTACGAAGGAATGGAGTTTGATGATGAACAAAGACGACATCGGGTGAATGTTCAAAAGCGACTACAAGCTATACACGAGGGTATTGTTAACATAATGAAACGTACCTATGAGGTCTTCAGGAATGATGGAGTAGAGGTAGGTATTTCTTTATCATCCATCAAAGAGTTTTCTACTCTGTATAAATGTTGTGAGGTGTATAATGGACTTTTCCCGCTAAGCCCAACCCCTTGGATATTGTTGTTAATGTCCAAAAAACGACAGTGTAAAAACATACGCAAACACATGCGTTTGTGGGACAACACATGATACCAAGCGCGTATTCCTGGCCCTTTTCTGATTGGTCAGTTGTTAGATTTGATTGACACTCCGGGAAGGTCTATTGTCAGTGAGTCTTGTGGTACCAAGCATAAAAAAATGAATTATTGATATATTTAAATAAATGATAATTGAAGTTTTATTTTGGTCTTGACTACACCCAGTGTAAGATAATTTTAAACTTCAGATGTCTGGAAATATACTGTAGAGGAAATCGCCTCTATAAAGAAGTTGGGAGAACCTGCTTCCAGGATATCTGTTAAAGAGTTTCACATCTTTACTATGCTGCACTTGGTTGATACCCTCACTAGCTTGCATCAGGGAGACAATTGATAATACATTACAGTAGTTAAAAAAAAAAAATTTTACTTGCTCGCGAGAGTGGTTGATGACATCCCAATTTCTGGGAGGCTCTTGCGACTTGTCGGAGATATGGGACCATTGCACGCTCTGTTACTTGCTTTTGTCATATAGGTACATAACCACTGGTACAGGTACACAGAGAAGATGGATCGGATGGTAGAAGAAGCCTTTAGACTCAACGTTAAATGGTCTCTCCAGGAGCTATCAAGAGCGATCAACGGTGATGGGAAAAGTATGCCGAACCCTTTGTTTAGAGTTAAAGTGACGCTAGATGGAACAAAGGTATGCTAAAAGCCTCAATAGCATAATACTAATAATAAATAATACTGTAATAGTAATAATAATACCCAAATATTTATATAGCACAATTTCAAAGTGAATGATCAAAGGCACTGTGCGTTATTACCCCTGGTCCCTGGAAAACATACAATGGCAAACCAGCACAAAATGCAACCTTCTCTGCTCCCTGGGGAGTATCCCTAGTCGTGCGCTACTTGTTTAGCGCATGAAACTAGTACATTCAATGGCACAACATTCTACCAGGTACCAATTTATACTTCTGGGTAGAGAGAGACAAACGTAGATAAAGTGCCTTGCCCAAGGACACAAGTTTCAAACCCCCGACCTCAAGGTTAGGAGTCCAAGCCACAACCAATGTGCCAACCGTTTTCCTCAAATATCTGGAAGGTACCTTAGTCTGTTTAATGAATACTTACAAGAATAAAACACTAAATGCTGAAGTTTCTTTGAAAATTACCTCTCAAGCATAAAAGACAAATAATGGAATCCCCTTAGCTTGACTGTATACACCCTGCGTGAATAAACAATATCCTTGTTTACTGTAAGCCTATAGCAGATCTCGGCAAGGGAGGAGGAAGGGTGTTTATCCAGGTAAGCACCTCACTCACAGACCAACAACATCACTGCTGATTTGTTTAAAGATAGATGTGACAAATATTTGTGATATGGCCATATAATGGGCATGATGAAGTCATTAGTTATAACTATAAACTAAAACTTGGTATGAGACTTGGAGAGGAAATTTGTTTTAATCCACTAGAAAAATTCTAGTGTTTTACAAGGTCCAAATACAGAATCCTGGGATTTGAAGGCAACCACGTACCCAGTGACGTATCTATGAGGGATCAGAGGAGCACACCACCACTGCCAAAAAAGTGTTGTGCCTCCCACACTGGCAATTTGCTGAGCAAGAAAATCAAACTAAAGTATTTCAAAATTATCTCATACTGTATATCACCTTTTTAGCCAGAAAGTTCCTTGAGTTTCCCCACTAAGACTTTGGTTCATTTCCCCCTGCCCCCCCATAAGCTGTACCCCAGTCAGCATTGCTAGGTATCCCACTGCAGCTACTGTCACGCCTCATCACATAATGATCAATTGCCTTGTTACCATGTCCATGCCTTTTGCCATTCAGGTGGAGTTCTCGCCAACATTGATTCAGCTGGCATCACTGGTGATGAGTACCAGTAGCCATCTGACCAAAGCTGTCTCTGTCATTCCAAGGCTGCCAGATCTTTTGACAAGGAAGAAATCTACCAAAGGGGTGAGTCATTGTTCTTGTTACAACTCTGTTATTTGCAAGCTCCTTATGGTTATTAAATCATAACTTAATTTACAAATCATTCATGGTAGGAGAAATCATTACTCTTTGATATCAGTGCAGATCTAGATTACATCATTACATGTTTTGACTCCTTGCGGTAAAAGCAAAATTGTGTACTGTACTCAATGGCAGATTTAGAATTTTTTTTGGTGAGGTGGCAATCAAGGACGTAAGGTCCAAAGAGAGCTGAACCTATTGTCAAGAAAAAAAAGGTTTTAGAGTGTCTCTTATATGGGGTCTGAGGGAGGGGGGTATGCCTCCTGGAAGTGTCCGAATTGCCATTTTAATTTTTTATGTAAATTATTTTGTACTTATTAGTCATACTTTGGCAACTGCCCTGGTTGATCATCCCTTCTTGCCACCCTCCACCCCGATTTGCCAAGCTTAATTGTAGCCCAGTTTACACCAATGGGAGGGACATCAAGTTACCTATAATTTGAAATGCACAATTTTCTCCATACATAGCCAATTTACGCTATCATTGACAAAGACGAAGAGACACGTAAAATACAGAAGAGCATAGACAGCGGCATGCAAGCCAACGCACAGCACCTCAAGTCGTACCTGAGCACGTGGGATAACTATCGAGAAATCTGGGAGATTAACAAGGATGCGTTCATACGTAGATACCAGAACCTCAACCCACCAGTCTCATCCTTTGATGCAGATATTGCCAGGTAAATGAATATGTCCAAGGAGGTTTTCAAGGTTGATCTCCTCAATGAAAACTACTGTATAATCTATATTTATATTTCTTTATATATTTTTTTGAAGATTAGTTTATTGATTTTTTTTTTATCTCATTTAAAGTCCTGTCCAGGGCAAAAACATGTGACAAAAGAATCATCATGACCATAATAGGCACTTCATGACTATATATGGGCATACAACAATTTCTTCTCAAAGAAGATTCACAGCAGCGATTCAGTGCAAATTTTTTGTGTGTGTCTACATTGTTGTTAAACTTTATTATAGTAGGTTTGGCATTGTGTAATATTACCCCCATTTGTTTCTATGAATTTGCCAGTATGAAAGAGCAAGTAGCCAAGCTGTTGGTAGACACTATGTTTGAACTGAACCATGGAGATCCTTTCTGTTTGAGAGTCGCTGGTATAATTTCATAGTTGCTCTCCTTGTGTTTCACCTGGGGTGGAGAAATACACGTAAATAAGATACAATAATAGGGCATCGTTCGTAGAACACTCTTGAAAATAAAATGATTTTGTATCATTCTTAGGTATACAGAGGTTGCAAACAATGTGCAAAAAGAGGAGACGGTGCTTAACATTCAGTTTGTGCTCCTCGACTGTTCCCCACTAAAGTTTGCACTTCTACAACATTGCAATGAATGGCAAAGTAAGTTTACAACACTCTTGCAGTTCATGGCCAGTCAGAAACTCACAAAGTTGCACACCTACCTCAAGGAAAATGCAGAGAAGTAAGTCATTCCTCTTTTAATCACTTATGAATATTTTTTTGTAACTTTTTTTGCCACCTTTGGGATAAAAGTTCATGCAAACCTGTTTTCATAATGATTAAAGGTGACACAAGGAAAAGGGCTAAATCCTGGTTGCAACAAGCAGTAATGTTGTTCGTGAGCCATAGAAGAATATATGAATATACTGTATTTGAATTTTTAAGTAAATAATGCCTACCAAACAGCACTCTAAGTGACAGGACAATATTTATGAAGTCATATTTTGTTATCTCATCAAGGTCTAGGCCTTTCTTCACCTAGCAAGGTTGGTTAGGCTTGATGTGTGAGTTTGGCTGGGTCAGTCATGAAATATTCTTTGCCATGTCATATTACAATTTGATCTACTTCATCAATTATTGCAACTTACATGCACAGTTAATGTCTTTGAATCACTTATATGTATAATTTGTATTTATTCAAGTTTATTATTAATATTATTATTTTCTAATTGTTATGTCATTGTTATTGTTATTATTAATAATATCAATTTAGACCCATACATGTTTTCACTTACTGTATATTCTCGCATAAAAAACGAGACTTAAAATATCAAGTTATGCTTGGAAAAAACAGGGAGTTGTCTTATATGCACAACATACAAATTTGTTGATTTTTAAAGTCATGTTTGTCGTATGTGCAGATTGTCCGTAACACGTAAATTGTCTTCTCTATGTGTAGACTCAGTAAGCCTCCTCAGACGTTGGATGAACTGGGTGATAGCTTAGACCTACTAGAGAAGCTTCAGAATGAACAGAAAGAGATAGAATCGCAATTCACCCCACTCCACGAGGAGTTTGCCATCCTAGAAAAATATGAAGTTGGCATACCAGAGAAAGTAAGCAAGCCAATTTCATGAATACTTACCTCGATACTCCAACTAATTGCCACTGTGTCCTTAAGTTAACAGCCCTCATAACTATCTCCAAGAAATGAGGATGATGTTTAGGCATAGCTGCAATGGTGTAGGGATGGTTGGATGGTTCTATTTTTCTCGTAGGGGTTGTTCGTAAGGGAACAGTGGCAAATAGTCGGTTTATCCAGGTAAGTATCTCACATACAGACTACCAACATCACAGCTGATTTGTTTGCCCTCCAGTTCGCGATTCCTCTAATTCTGAGATCCTCTATAATTCAGGACCACTTTTTCAAAGTACCAATAACAGTCTCCAGTCTTTTAACACAAAGGTTATGGAGACCAAACCCAGAGACCACCCCACATTTATAGGTTTCAAAGGTGGTCTCGAATTGGAGCGCAAACTGTATTTTCATGTGGGTTTTTATACATTTTACTTTTAACAATCAGGCCAAGAAAATTTGTTTTGTCCTTTCAACCAGGATATTTATCTTGATAAAATGCCTCCATCACCAAATGTTATCTGTACACTAAACAATGCACGAATGATATGAAGTTGATGTTATTTGCTCCAGACACAAGAGATGCTTGAAGCCCTCGGTGGTGAATGGTTGTCCTTCCAACAGTGCCTCATCAGTAGTGATGTCATGTTGAAGAAGCACAAGGAGAAGTTCAAGTCTGGACTCATCCATTCCTCAGAGGAGTTCAAGAAAAATGTGCATCAGCTTCAAGAAGATTTCCACAACAATGGTATGTAAAATGTGTACACTGCAGTATGTCATTAATATCTGGATAAACCAACTATTGCCATTCTTTTCTTTGACAACACAATACTCTTTCAAAAGAGTAGAACATTCCATCCCAGAATACATAGTATATCCACGCCCTATGGATAACTTTTTCCATGGCCAGTGTTGCCAATCAATTTGTTTTTAAATTTTACTTCAAACCATTAGCTTCACTACTGTGAAGTAATGTGGAGGTATACACATACACTTTTAAAGCCCTGTCCAAACTCTCAAATTCTATATGACAAAAACATATGACATGCATATATATGGTCATGATGACATCACATCATGACCATATATAGGCACATCATGACTATATATGAGCATACAACAGTTTTTTGTTTGATTGTGTGAACAGAATCAAACAAATAATTAAAACAGAAATGCTCACTCCTTGCATGCAGAAGTGTCCATTCAAAACCCACTGCTTATGTTTCACCATTCAAAATTTTCATTCCACTCTGCTTGTTAAAATTACATACCATGACTTTAACATTTAACATATTTCTTTTGAATTGTCTTTCTACAACCTGACTTTTGAACCTGCCTAAATATCTGCAGATATTTTTAAAACACAGCCCATGTTAAATTTGGAATACGGTTTTGTTATCATGTGTTACTCAGATAGATGATTCCAAGACCATTTAAACATAGTTTAAAATGATGATGTCTTGGGATAAAGATGTTAAATGAATAAAATAATTAATGTGTAAATGAATAAATGAATGGATTATAAATGAATGAGCAAAAAATGAATGGATTATAAATGAATGAGCAAAAGATGATTTAATAAACGAACAAATGAGCAAATGAATAAATGAACCACCAAACAAAATAAACTATGAAAAAGACAAACAAATTATGCTCTGTAAATTATTGTTTCTTATGCAATCAACCATAAATGGTTCAAGTAGAAATGAAACCTTTTAAATTTTACTCTTGAATTCCTAACATTTGTCTTTTTCTCCCCTAAAGGTCCATTCAGTAGCCAGATTGAATGTGATACTGCACTAGAGCAGATCAGTAATACTCGTGATCAACTGAAAAATCTCAAGGACACAGAGGCAACGCTCAGAAGAGGTCTGAACATCTTCAAGATTGACCAACCACCGTCAAAAGAAATACAACAACTAGACAAGGTTACTGAAATATTACTATCGATAAATAATTTAGATATCGTTAAAAATATACTTCCAGCTAAATCTAATACTAAAATTTAAAAAAATTTCATTGTTATAGTCTTTGTATATACCAAAAAAATGAATAAGTGGCTGTTCCAATGAAAACCAACGTAACTAAAAAAAATAAAATAAGAGACACTTCTTTGCTATCTAGACATTTTCATATGATTTTGGATAAAATTATATTTAGTAGCAAAAACGGCCACAACCCACACTTTTTTGTTACTCAATTTTTAAAGTTCTCAATATTTTGATACCCTAGGATCTCGATAGTATCGAGACAGTTTGGCAACTAACCAAGGAATGGGAAGGCCTCTGGAATACCTGGAAAGTAGGAAAATTCTCAGAACTTGTCACCACAGAGATGGAGCACACAGCAGGAATGCTTTTCAAGAAACTCAATCGCCTGAACCGGGAACTCAAGGTCAGTCTAGTGGCATATCTAGAAAAAGTGTCTTGCCTATTTTATTGAATAATAGTTCCACTGCAAACTATATTCAATGAATATTCATGAAGGTAAATCTGATCTCCACAGGATAAGAACTGGGAGATTGTTGAGACTTCCAGGAATAAAGTTGACCAGTTCCGACGAACCATGCCATTAGTTACAGATCTCCACAACAACGCCATGAGGCAACGTCATTGGGACGAGCTGCAACAGGAGTTACAGAAGACCTTCGACCACACAGCAGATGACTTCACTCTTGAGAAGATCATAGAGCTTGGCTTTGACCAGTTTGCAGAGAAGGTGTCAGAGATCTCTGCTGCTGCCACCAAGGAGTTGAACATTGAGGAGACACTTTCACAGATTAAAGAAACCTGGGAACAAACTCTGCTTGAAATTGGACCATATAAGGAAAGAGGACACTACAAGATCAAGTATGATACCTAAGTCTTGCTTCCTCTTGCTTTTAATTCTTAATATGTGTTAATAATTCCTATTTTATTATCCATGTATGAACCTCTTTTCAAAGTTCGCTTTGTTTAGCTGTAATTGTATACAAGCGAATTATTATGTTGAAGCTCATAATTATATTTTTCTTTGCATGTTATTTTGTGGTCTATATAAATATATTTAATTATTTAGAGCTCAGCATCCCATCACTTATAACCATTATTTGAGACATGATTGATGTTCACTTTTTTAAGTTTTCTTACAATGAAGCCTAGCCTTTATTTTTATCCTTTTTGTATACATTTTTTTACCGTAAACTTTAAAATTTTGAAGATGTAATATAAGTTTTACTTAATTTACTATCCCTAAAGGTCAACAGATGAAGTGTTCCAAGTTTTGGAGGACAACCAAGTAACACTTTCGACCATGAAGGCATCCCGTTATGTCAAAGCATTTGAGAAAGAGGTCGACCACTGGGAGAGGACATTATCCCATATTCTTGAGGTCATTGAACTTTTGCTCACGGTACAACGACAGTGGATGTATCTTGAGGTAGGCTAGATTTGGTCACATTTATTTTACTTGTCACTTGTTCCACTAGCCGTCGTCATGTTGAAGACAGTTGGCTGTCATTCTACATGAGAATGAGAATGAGTGACATATACACAGCCATTGTGAGATTTTTCATTTATTTATTTTTTTTTATAAATAAATACCTGTTACCCAAGGTAGGACCCTTAACAGGTACTCTCCTCCCGGTTCAGGAGGATCCTGGAACTCATCGTTGGGTAGTGGTATTCATTTCCCTGATCAGGTCAAGTCTTGCATAGTGCAAGACCATCGCTGTGATTACCCAATATAAATATAACCTAAAGTATTGGTGATGTGGCATGATTTTGGTTGGCATAAAAAAGAGGCAGTGCTGCAATTTTACAATCTATATTAATTAGTAAAAACTTTATGGATTAAAACTAAATGCCATCAAGAATTGATGACAGTATTTTTTGTTTTATCAGCTGTAATATTTTATTATCTATTTATTTGCTGTATCATTAGCAATATGTTGTTTATGATTATAGAATATTTTCTTGGGTGAAGACATACGGAAGCAGCTTCCCAGAGAGTCTGCAGAGTTTGATTCCGTCAACGTCAACTGGAAGATAATAATGCAAAGACTTAACAAAGACAACAACGCACACAGAGGAACGCACCATGAAGGTAAGTACTCATTTGCATATAATTTGCATAGATTGAGTTTCACTTCAAAAATGTTTGTTGAACTATTTAGCAAAAATTGATAGGATCAAAGATAAAAAATGCTTTTCTAATATATACTGTACTGTAAAAATATGTTTGATTGTTGTTCATCAAGTAGTTGAAGTGTTGTATGCTGTTGTCTTTTAAAGGTTTACTTGAAACATTAAATGAAATGAATGGTAAACTGGAGGAGATTCAAAAGTCCCTTGATATGTACCTCGAAACCAAGCGACAGATTTTTCCGAGATTCTACTTCCTTTCCAACGACGACCTTCTTGAGATTCTTGGACAATCACGGAACCCAGAAGCTGTAAGTTAAAAAATTATGTAAAAAGTCATTGTCATCATCATCATTGTCATCATTGATATTATCCTTAAGTAATAAAATTAAAGATATCTTATTATTGTATTGAGTTATAAACCTAAAGAAATTATTCAATATTTGAATTGAATATCTTGTAATAAAGTTATTAACTTCCATTGAAAATGAATGTTGAGAATATATTTTTCTTCTTAATTTTTTATATTAAACATTAAATTGACTAGTACTCACTTAAGTGATTTTCATACTAAGTGAGGTCATATTTGTAGGGTCATCCCACCTTTATTCATAATTTTTCTCTTTCCTTTGTATTTCATTAAATTCTCCTATTTTGATTAATACTGATTTATTCATTGGAAAAATTCAATCCTTTTCATATATTCCTTCTCCAGGTTCAACCACATCTTAAGAAGTGCTTTGACAACATCAGCCGTCTGAAGATGCATAAAATGGGAATCACTCAGAAGTTTGAAGCCCAAGGAATGTACTCAGCTGATGGGGAATATGTAGAGTTTGGACATCCAGTCCTCCTGGATGGACCTGTTGAGGTACTTTTTTAATAGGCACTTAAAGCAACAGGACGGGAAGACAGGTGGACGGTGGTTCTGTGCTCATCAGAGCGTGAAGTCCACAGTAAATACTTGGGCGCTTAACCCGAATTGCCGGTGTCGACAGCTCTCTGTCCTCTTGCATAAAGTGCCTATTCTTCCAGGTCACATACATTGTAAAATGGAGCTAATGTTATGCTCATTCCTCATTTTTAGACTTAAACTTTGTCCACACTATCAAATTTTATGTGACAGGCCCATATATGGGTATGATGATGTCATATTACACCCAAATATGGGCATATCATGTATATTGGTCACATAAACAAGTTAGTTTAGTAATGTAAAAAAATGATGACACAGAAGCTCCAGTTCCATTTTATTTATTTATTTTATTCTTAGGCTCAGAGCCAAGGATATGCCAGTAGTGAATTTAATCACTTTACTAAGTGGCAATCCCTTTCAAACATACAAGATGCTTTACATAAACTAAGTCTCATTATGAGGCTTAGGGTCTGGAGTTGTATTTGGTTGTGAGAGAATATCCTGTTATCGTGAATTGAGCCTAGGATCCTGGGATTGGAAAGCAAGCACCACCAAGCTATTAAACTCCACTCCCCAATCTATTCAATTTCATTTCAAAATACTCCATTTTATTTTAAAGTAACTTCAGCATCTTTCTTATTATACTTCAGTATATTTTTATTTGATTAATTTATGTTTAATACAGGCATGGCTTTGTGACATTGAGAGGACAATGAGATGGACATTGAAAGACATCCTTAAGCAGTGCAAGATCTCTCTCAAGAACCTAGCCTCCAAGAAGAATTCCAAGCGAGACAAGTGGATCAAGGAATGGCCTGGACAGGTAAGGCTAAATTCAATAAATTAATAATGTTCAACATGCCTTGTGCATTTCCTGGGAACGACAGATACCTGCATGCTAGCATGTTCATTATTTTTGTTGTCATTAATATTGATATAATAATTGTCCACTTTGTGAATACTTACCTGGATGATTAGGATATGTATATGAATTGAATTTTATGGTTTGATGGGCAATTCCATTATTTTTGAGGGGTAAATAACTTAACAGCATAACTCCTTATAAATTTTGTTTAATATTCAAATGTTTGATGTCCATTTTAGATGACCATCACATCTAGCCAGATGCAATGGACTGCAGATTGTACAAAAGCACTTGCAATGACTAAAGAGAGAGGAGAGAAGAAATTTCTGAAAAACATGAAGAAAAAACAAGTGTCCGTCCTAAACAAGTATTCTGAGATGATCCGTGGTTCCCTCAGTAAAATGCTACGTGCAAAGGTCGTGTCATTGGTCACGATTGAGGTCCATGCGAGAGATGTCATTGAGAAGTTGATCAAATCAAACGTGAATGATGTGACAGCTTTTGAGTGGCTTAGTCAGTTACGTGTCTACTGGGATAAAGAAATTGATGATTGTGTGGTACGACAGACCAACACGCAGTTTCAGTATGGGTATGAGTACCTCGGGAATTCCGGAAGGCTGGTCATCACGCCTCTTACTGATCGGTAGGTTAAAAAGACTGTATTCCACTGTGAAGGATGATGGGTACTTATTAATTTTAGTATTGATTTTGTAAGTTAACAAAATCAATACTAAAATCCGAACCTAAATAATATCAAGCAAATTGTGCACTAATGAAGAATTAGTGTATGGTTGGGGATAGGAAAATAACATTAAGAGTTACAGTGATGACTTATGATAACCATTATGTATTATTGTTTCTTGCAACAGTTGTTACATGACTCTTACCACTGCCCTTCATTTACATCGAGGCGGATCACCAAAGGGACCAGCTGGTACAGGTAAAACTGAAACTACCAAGGATTTAGGCAAAGCTCTCGGCAATTACGTGATTGTTATCAACTGTTCTGAGGGTCTGGATTTCAAATCCATGGGCAGAATGTTTAGTGGTCTTGCTCAGGTATTATTTTGTATTAGAATTTTAAAATTCAATAATATCTGAATACAAAATTTGATCCTTACTATTTTATTTCTAGCCATTCAACCTTATTTTATGATATGAAAAAAGAACTTTTCTCTTAACACATTTGCTGTTATTATGGAATGACTAAGGTCTTCCCCATTCACCATGACAAGTTTTAAAGAGCTCTATCGTGTATCAATATTTTCCAGGTGCACTTAGTAAACCACAAAAGTCATCTCAAATTTATTTTTATATTATTATGTACTGTCGTGAGCTGCCGCTCAAGCTTGTTTGTGCTGTTGTGGTGCTGTCAACTTTACCAGTGTCATAATAAAAAATAAAAAAAGAATATCGAATAGCTACAGGCATATTTGTCCTTAGCCCAATTTGAACTCCAGTTAAAATGAGTATTTTCTTCCATAGCAGCTATCATGTGAATTTATTATTTTCTTTCTGTAGACCGGTGCATGGGGCTGCTTTGACGAGTTCAATCGTATCAACATTGAGGTGTTGTCAGTGGTAGCTCAACAGATTTTATCCATCCTATCGGCGCTAGCTGCTGGGTCAAGTCGATTCGTATTTGAAGGTCGGGAGATTAACCTTGTCTGGTCATGTGGAATCTTCATTACGATGAACCCAGGTAGGTAGAGTAAGGATAAAGACTGGCAGTGGTGGATTCAGAAATTTTAAATAGAGGAGGTGGGGGGCCCAGGGAAACTTTTACAGGTGGATTGGTGTAGACCATCTAAGCCCCAGCAAAGTTGGAGCTGAGGTACAAAATTTTATGGCAATATGGGCGAAAATGGCACTCTCAGACTTAAATTTGATTATTTTTTTTCTCCCAGGCCAAATTTGCTTATAATAAAACTTTTTTGTAATTGTGTTTATTATTATTATGAAGTTGAGAAAGTGACAGAGATAATAACAAAGTTTGTAATAAGTTTATTTACTGTAATTTCTTTCAGGTTATGCTGGTCGATCTGAGCTGCCAGATAACTTAAAATCCATGTTCCGGCCCATCTCCATGGTGGTCCCTGACTCAGCATACATTGCTGAGATCATTCTCTTTGGTGAAGGTTTTAGTAACACACGGGTAAGAAGCTCTTTGAAAATTTGATAAGTATGTGATAATTCTATGAGGATGATTAGTGAAGATTGAGTTTGTAACTGTAATGCTGACGAACGTGTTAAAGAACAATACAATCATAATAACAAATCATGATTGTAATTATGATTATACAGCGGTCACTCCATAAATTGCATAGCTTAACTCTGTCCCTGAGTACCAAATAACAAAGGAAAATATTTACTTCCTGTGAACTTTTAGTCCTCAGACTACCATTCAACTTAATTTTATTAATATCCATTCATCTGTTTTTGTATAATCTTGTTAACAGACAAACAAGCAGATGAACAGCTGTGAATACATGACCTCCTATCAGAGGTAATAATAGTATATTTTTCCATTACGTACAGGTTCTTGCCAAGAAGGTACATACTTTGTATTCATTGGCTGTCCAGCAACTCTCTAAACAAGATCATTATGACTTCGGCCTGAGAGCTTTGACGTCCGTTCTCCGGTATGCTGGTAAGAAGAAGAGAGCATTCCCAAATATGACTGATGAAGAGGTAAACCTTTACATTTTCAAAATTAAATAATACTCAGTTTTTTTTTATTAACATTTTAAATTCAATCAATTTAATTTCTTTAGTATGATGAAAATTAAGTAGTTTAGAAGAAGAAATGTGATATTATTGTTGTTTATGCTGTAGTTTGTGGCGGTGGTGTTGTTGCTATTATTATAACCAACCGACTTGCATGGAAAATCACTAGGAAAGTAGGTGCACTGAATCGTAACTACTGCACAATAAATTGGTTTTATATTGTGCCATAGGTCAAGCCCAAATTGGCCCTTATGTATTTTATATGCGAAGACAGGTTTTCTCCCTTATATTTTACACAGGAAATATTCTTCACGCAGGCCATTTTTTTCCAGTCTGGTGTGTGATTATATTTAAAGTATATTTAAATTTTTATATACATTTATATGTAAGTTATTTGTGATTATATGTAAAATATGTGATTTTTTTTTCATTTTTCTTCATATAGATTCTCTTACTTGGTATGAAGGACATGAATGTACCCAAGATGACTGTAGTAGATCTCCCACTTTTCAATGGCATTGTATCCGATCTCTTCCCAGGTGTCGACACTCCAGTCATTGATTATGGCAAGGTATGTGGTTTTTTAAGAGATCCATTCTATTATTAATTTGATTATATTACTTAGTCATTATTTAATTATCATTCCTCTGAAGAAATCTCAGTCAGAATATCACTAAATATACCCCTATACTTTATTTGTAATACAAGTCTTCCTATGATTATAGACCTCTTTTATAAGTAGGGTTTTTATGATGGTTAACAGATTATAGAATAAAAAAATGATTTCATCTGGTCTTTCATTAGAGGGGTATTTATTTTGAGAATGACCCATAGGTAATAACATTTTTTAAAATTAGATGATATAAACTGTATTTTAAAAAAATAGTAACACATCCACAATTTGCTCATAGTCATCAGTATCCGGAGGAATAAAGCCTTTGACAATGATGCTAGTCCCAAAATGTAAGGAGAGATTAATTTAAATTCAGTTGTTTATTATTATATTATAGATGCGGGCTGTGATAGAGTCAGAGTTAAAAATCAATGGTTATCAGTGTATTCAGTCTACGGTTCTAAAGGTCATTCAACTCTACGAGACCAAGAACTCGCGTCATTCTGTGATGATTGTCGGAAAGACAGGAAGTGGCAAGACAGTGTCCTGGAAGATGTTGCAGTCAGTCTTATCACGGCTGAAGAAGGAAGGCGATGATAATTATAATCTTGTAAAGGTAAATACAGTAGAGGGGCAAAAACAAGAAAATTGACTTTTTAATGTATTCGTATTCTCCACATTATAAACTTTTAAGTGATAGGTCATTTGCAGGAATCGACTTACTATTGCCAAAGTTATGAGTAAAGTATTACAGCTTCTCTGTACAAAAGTATATAATAGTGCCACAGTCTTACGCCACAGTACTCTGGTTTTGGGATGGTAAGCTGCAGATATATAAGTAAAAGACATGATTTGTTTCATAGATATCTAAAACAAGTATACACCATCTGACAAACTTTTGTGTATGCCCAGAATTTATAATCGTTTGGTTTTGTATTGCAGGAATATCCCATCAACCCCAAAGCTCTATCGCTCGGTGAACTCTATGGCGAGTTTGACCTAAATACCAATGAATGGACTGATGGTGTACTGTCAAGTGTAATGAGAGCAACATGTGCCGATGAAAAACCGGACGAGAAGTGGCTACTGTTTGATAGTCCAGTTGACACTCTGTGGATTGAGAGTATGAATTCTGTGATGGACGACAACAAAGTGTTGACGCTTATAAATGGTGAACGTATTGCCATGCCAGAGCAGGTAAGAATTAGGAATACCTAACATCCAAGATTCTTAAACCAATACACAATACCATTTTTCAAGATTCCTTTTTTGACATTTGTGTAATTAAAAATTGGAACTGTTTGCCCGAGCATATTGTCAACAGTTACATCATCAAACCACTTCAAAGCCAACTACGACTAACACATTAAAAATTTGAGATATATATATTTGTATACCCTACTATGTAATTATATTTCAATGAAACATTAATTTTTTTGCTTAGATAGTCACCACATCTACTTGTACATTTATAGTGTATATACAGTACTAGAAACAATTTAATTTAAAAATTGCAATTAATTTTTTTAATGAAATTGTGAAATTGTTAAAAATTGTTAAATTATGTCTCTATGTGTACCTTTCTATTTAGGTAACTCTTCTATTTGAAGTAGAGGATTTAGCTGTGGCGTCCCCAGCCACTGTCAGTCGTTGTGGCATGGTGTACACTGACTATGCAGACATGGGCTGGCAGCCATACGTCAACTCATGGTTTGATCGCATTAAGAATAAGGTGAGGCAGTTTCCTGTCTTATGTAGCTTATCTACAGGACTAGAATAGCTTCCTTCTATGGTCATGATAATGGTAATTTAATTTAATTGCTCAGTTGATGATAGTGGTGGTGAACGTGGTGGGAGTGATGGTTGGTGTAGGGTTTCTGGTGGTGGTGGTGGTGGTGGTGGTAGGGATTGGGTACAGTGTTAATGATGGTAGTGATGATGATAATAATAATAATAACAACTTTATTTTAAAATGGAAAGTGGTGATAGTGGTGGGGGTGATGGTTGGTTTAGGGTTTCTGGTGGTGGTAGGGATTGGGTACAATGTTAATGATGGTAGTGATGATGATAATGATGCTAATAATAATAATAACAACTTTATATTAAAACGGAAAAAACCCTGTATCACCATATTGGTGTTTTTCACAATGCTGATGATGATAAGTTGGAATGATAGTGATAGCAATGCCATAGGATGATAATGACAATTTGATTTATTGATTAATAAATATAATCTATTAAAGATGTACAGCAAAATTGAATTTTATTCGTATAACTAATAATTAAGATTTTAAAATATTAGATACACTAAAGGTAAGTAATTATACAAAATAGCATGTAATAAGCACATTTTTGACATGAAACTAAATAACAAAAGCAATGGAAATTCTTTGTTAAAATGTATAATTCTTCTTTTTCTATGTCTAGCAAATGGTTGAGGTTCTTCAGCGTCTTTTTGACAAGTATTTAATGAAGATTGTCGATTACAAACGAACAAATTGTAACGAGTTGGTGCCAATATCAGAACTCAATGGTATTATTTCACTCTGTAAATTATTTGATGCATTTGGTACAGAAGCCAATGGGGTGAGTAGCACAGAACTTTCATTTTTCCTCTAGAAAAACGAGCACATATTTTTTAAGAGCAACATGAAACAAGGAAGCAAGGTAGTCATATAATATCATTTGCCTTTGCTGGTTAGTGTTCAATTAAAGTCTTTAAATTTTGAAAATTGGTAATTAATTTGTTCTTTTAAAAAATAGTAATGTTTTTATTTGAATTTGGTTAAACTTTCATTTTTTTATTATTATATTTTAAAAATCATCTCTAATCATTTTTTTCTGTATTACCAGGTTGATCCGAATGATAAAAGCAACTTTGAACGAATGGTAGAGCTTTGGTTCCTCTTTTGTATGATCTGGTCCGTCTGTGCTTCCGTTGATGAAGACGGAAGAAAGAAACTAGATAACTATATCCGTGAGATCGAAGGTACTTTCCCAAACAAGGATACAGTATATGAATATTGTGTTGATCCAAAGAACAAGAATTGGGCTCATTGGGAGGAGAAACTGCGAAGTGGCTGGAGATACCCCCCAAAGTAAGTGGAAGAATCCAAATAAAATTTAATCAGTCTTGCTTTCAAATTTCACAAATCTTAAAGCCCTTTTGAAACTACCAAGTTTTTATTTGAAAAAAAAACATGTGACATGCCTAAATATGGTCATGATGAAATCACATCATGATCATATATAGGCCCATCATGACTATATATGGGCATACAACAGTTTTTTTCTCAAATAAAATTTGATAGTCTGGATGGACTGTTAGATTATCAACTCCATAAAGCATCATATCGTTTATTCAATTCTTTGACAAATATCTTGCAGTTTGTTAAAAAAATAAAATCTTAATATATGCTTAGCATATTCATAAATTATGTTTTCGATTCATTAGCTCTCCTTTCTACAAGATCATTGTTCCCACTGTGGATACTGTACGTTATGACTTCATCGTACGCCGTTTGATTGAGACGGTACAGCCTGTACTTCTGTGCGGACCTGTGGGCACCGGTAAAACATCAGTCGCACAGAGTGTCCTGGGCAAGATGAATGCCAGCAAGTACAGTGTACTGACCATCAACATGTCTGCTCAGACCACATCGAATAATGTTCAAGACATCATTGAAAGCAGAGTTGAGAAACGTACCAAGGGTAAGTATGACCTCTCACCTTTATCTACCTTATTCCTGCCATGATTATGATAATGGTTTTATTTATGTTTTTAACTTCCTTATTCAAACAGCTATAATAACCATACTTGGTGTTGTAGCTGTCTGCTGCTTGCTCAGCTTTCATTAGCCCCAGTATTCATGTGGGGTCACTGTTGGCGGTGTTACCATCGGGCAGAGCTGGAAGTGTCCCTCTCAGACTGCCATCAATGTTGAGGGTGCTCCCGTTTCGTTTGATGCGATTTTTTATTTCCATAGTCCCTTCCACAATAAACATCGTGTAATGCTTTGATGATATAAAGTATGTATTGAGCTGAAGGAACATCCAATTAATAGGATTGATAATAATTCATCTATGCTGGTGTATGATGTAGAAAATTTTGAAACGGTCGTTCAAACATAATCATTTCCATTTACTGTGGAAATTTTCGACATGGACATTTCTGCCTTCTAGAAAGTAAATAGGATTCATATTTGCATACGAGGATGTTAGACTGCAGCATGCAGACGGTTCCATTAATTTTAGAGGGGTGTGGTTCAGTTAGTTATCTCACTCAGACTACTAACATCACAGCTGATTTGTGTAATTTGAATTGTTTATCTATATATTTTAGTTGGATATTTATTTAAGGCATCAAGATTAAAAATAATAATAAATAATATATGGTACTAATAATGGTTGAAAAGATTGCCAACAGTGATATTTCACCCTGGATCATAGTATTATTAAATTTAATATTGTACCTTAATTTTCTTTAAAATTTTTCAATTACCTAGTAATCTAAATTTCTCTAAATTTATTTCTCTGAAAAACAGGTGTTTACGTACCTATTGGTGGTAAGAAACTTGTCACATTCATGGACGACTTCAACATGCCTGCCAAGGACACATTCGGCTCGCAACCTCCGCTTGAACTCATGAAACTCTGGATGGATTACGGGTTCTGGTATGATCGTCTGAAACAGACTACAAAGTGCATTAAAGACATGCAGCTGCTTGCTTCCATGGGACCACCAGGAGGTGGAAGGATGGTGATCTCTAAGCGATTACAGAGCAGGTTTAACCTCATTAATATGACCTTTCCAAGTGTAAGTTAATTTGTTATATGTTGGTATTTGTACGTGTTTTTTGGGTTTTTTTGTACATAAATGTATGATTTTAAGAATGCTGCTAAAATCCTAATTTAATCAAGGAGCATACCGTAACCAATGTGACAAAATTCAAAGAGATGCGGACAAAGTTGAAAAATATTGAAACGTGGGTTTTTTTATTTATTTATTTACTTTTTTTATTTCGTTTTCTTTGTTTCGTAAAAATAAAATATTACCAATCTAAAAGGAGATTTGATATTATGTATTAAACAAATTTTACCTTGTAATTTTCAAATGCAGTTTGTATTTTGTCAGATGTTATAATTCAGTCATAAACTGTAAAAATTTAAATGCTTTTCTGTATAGAAAGCTCTTAGGGAAAATAGGATTTACAATACTGTGTGTGTCACTTGGTGTGCAGGCCCCTCACCTCCATTCATAACTGGCAGTCTTAATTTTTTTGTTATCAACAGTATCAGATTTTTGAATATTTTAGAAACTGGGGAAAAGGGGCGTAACCACCCTTTTTTTCCACCATTTCCTCCTAGTTTTTAAATATTCAAAAATCTGTATCTCATTAACCGTTCCCGAGTTTTTCGTCAAACACACTTTCTGTGTCTTAGAAAAATCAGTTGTATATAAAAAATGTTTTTTCTTCAGGAGCCTGGCTTGACAGTACTGCATGACTGAGCCTGGCTTGACAGTACTGCATGACTGAGCCTGGCTTGACAGTACTGCATGACTGAGCCTGGCTTGACAGTACTGCATGACTGGAGTCTGGCTTGACAGTACTGCATGACTGTTGTAAATCGTTTTTTTATTGATCGCCTTTCCCAGGATTCCCAAATCAAACGCATCTTCGGAACGATGATCAACCAGAAGCTGCAAGACTTTGAGGAGGATGTGAAACCAATTGGTGACACCATGACCCAGGCCACTCTGGAGATGTACCAAGCCATTGTGCAGAAGTTCCTGCCAACACCAGCAAAGATCCACTACCTGTTCAACTTGCGAGACATCAGCAAGGTATTCCAGGGCTTGCTGCGTGCCCATAAAGATTTCCATGACACAAAGGCCAGCATGACAAGGCTCTGGATACATGAATGCTTCAGGTGAGTGTTCATGTCATGTAGTTCATCTCTAAAGCGGGTACTGACTGCATCGTATGACAGTCGTACAAATGTCGGCAGATGAATCCAACTCCTGTCCCTGTGAGTGCTAGACAACATGATGCCGTCTGTTGGATTGTCAAAGCGATCCATTGCACGTGCGTCATGGTGTTGCCAACAAATAATGATGTATGAGCGAACCTCAACCAAGTTTCTATTAAGCTATGCATCATACAATTAATTTCACAATTTCCCAATGTTTTTTTTTATCTCAGAGTATTCTCAGACCGTCTTGTGGATGAGCAAGACATGGAGACATTCATCACAATACTGTCAGAAAAACTTGGCAGTCTCTTTGACCAGACTTTCCACAACATCTGCCCCAACAAACAACCGCCCATCTTTGGCGACTTCATGACACAAGGTGAAGTCCCAATCTATGAGGATCTTCAGGAATTTAGCGCCCTCAAGAAGTACATGGAAGAAGCATTGGAGGATTACAACTCAACGCCAGGTGTTATCTCGATGGATCTGGTGCTTTTTAGAGATGCTATTGAACATGGTAATCATCCATTGTTACATTTTACCATTCCTCCAGCTGCTGAAGACAATTGGAAACATAATCAGGCCTCTTCCGAATTAAAAATTATAGATATTAAAATATGAGCATGAATTTAAGATGTATCATTTTATACTTTGAAGAACTGCTTGATAGTAGACCGTAGAGGGCAGAATTTATTAGAACCCAGTTCTCATGTACTAATCCATATTTGAAATTGATGAAAATACAAAATAATTAACTAGATAGATAGAAGCCTTCACAGAGAGACAAACTACTCGATGTTGGACAGACAAAACCTCGATGTTGGACAGACAAACCTAGATGTCAGATAGACAGATTAACAGTGTTATTTAAATTTATTATTTGTTAAACCACAGTATGTCGTATCATTCGTGTTGTCTGCCAACCCCGTGGAAACATGCTGTTGGTCGGTATTGGTGGTAGTGGGCGTCAGAGTTTGACTAGGCTCGCGTCAGCCATCTGCGAATTTCACACCTTCCAAATTGAGGTTGCAAAGAACTACAGAAAAACAGAATTCAGAGATGGTAAGTTAGCATTTTGTCATTAAATTCCATGTTTTTCATGTTTATGTGTTTCACATGATGATGATAATTATTTCTGGGTTTAGACTCGCATCCCTGGGATTGGAAAGCATGTAGCTTAACCAGTAAACTTCAGCCAGTCCTGAACAATTATCATTTTTTTATAGATCTGAAGCGTCTGTATATGCAGGCTGGTGTCGAGAACAAGCCAACAATCTTCCTCTTCAACGACACCCAAGTAGTCGATGAATCCTTCCTAGAAGACATCAACAACATCCTCAGTAGCGGAGAGGTTCCGAATCTTTACAATTCGGATGAATTTGAAGAGGTACGTTCGACACTCGCAGACGAGGCAAAGAAGGACGGTATTCAGGACACACCAGAGAATATGTTTGCATACTTCATCGAGAGAGTACGTAGTAATCTCCATGTTGTACTCTGCATGAGTCCCGTTGGAGATCCCTTCAGGTAAGTTAGAAGTGCACCCTCATTAGGTCTGAGTTAAACCATTGTCTTTGAAAATACTTATCAATTATTTAAAATTTGTATGAGTTAAAAGTTTGCATAATTTTTTTGTGAATAATATCTGAATAAATTGATAATATAAAGAGCACATAGCAGTTGAAATGAATAATCTACAATTTGTGAGCCTTTCAGCAATTAAATATTTTGTGCAGCAGCAAAATATATATCAAATGAATTACAATAGGCTTATGAAGAGGAAATGTGGGCCATTATTTTTAATAGGGAATTTTTGCTTTTATTAGCATTTATCAGTTTATTCAGGTTTCTCACTCATAGATAAACAACATCACTTGTGTTTTGTTTCATTTATTCTTCTATTTTCAAATTTTTTTTAGAGCAAGCTAAAATGATATATGATCCTTTCCGCTCGTATTATTATTATTTGTATTATTATTTTCTTGAACTTTTTTATAGGAATCGTATCCGTATGTACCCAGCTTTTGTGAATTGCACGACGATTGATTGGTTCACAGAGTGGCCTAAAGAAGCTCTTATTGAGGTTGCTGAGAAATATCTAGAAACGATTGATGTTGGAGAAAGTGAAGAGGTGAGAATCCTCTCATCAAAAATAGTTTAAAATACATAGTTTCTGTAACTACCAAATGTAGCGCATCTGTTGATTTATGCCCCCACCTTGTCCTCACTGTTGTAAAGTGCATGCCAAGTCTCATTGTTCAGGGCAAACTCGAGCAGCATTTACTACAGCATTAAACGAGAATCAAGAGCACTGCAAATATATTGTCAAAACAAAAAAAAAACAACACAAAGCGTTAAGAACAAATGACAACCTCTATGTCTGGGGTGTTATTTTCCTCTGATGTGGTTAATAGGAATTTTGCTGTTTTTGCTCTTTGCAGATAAAGCCAAATGTTGCACAGATTTTCTGCACCATTCATCGCTCAGTTGTCGATAGTTCTCGCAAGTTGTTGTTCGAACTGAAACGGCACAACTATGTCACACCGACAAACTACCTGGAGTTGGTTACAGGCTACAAAATGTGAGTATACTATTGTAATACTTGATGGTAATTTATTATTACTTGAATTCGGGCATCCCGTGTTAGAAGAAGGTACTTTCGGAAGATGTGGTTAAATGAGCACATCTAATTTTATAAAAAACATGTAAATATTCTATCTTTGCGGAAGATGGATTAGAACTTTCTTGACACATGTTATTGTAATTTTCTCTGTGATGATACTCATGCCCAAATGAATTCAGGGAGGTTGATGATTTCAGATTAAGATAATAACACACAAACATGCAAATTTGTGTGAAGTAGATGAGTTTAAGGTTAAAAAAGTGTGGAGAAACCTCTTGAATGCTATGTAATGTTGCTGACTACTGGCCTCCCTCTAATTAAAGACCACCTCCAATTACAGACCACCCTCAATTAAAGACCACTTTTCTGTGGTCCCAAATTAACAATTGTCTTTTGCCTTTACTATTCCAATTAGAGACCAAAGTTGCTAAAGACCACGGAACCCAGTCTCCAAATGTGGTTTATAATTGGAGGGACACCTGTATTTTGTAAATATGACATATTAAGTTTGAGTAGATACAGGTCAAGGAACCTTCTTCAAGGGGAAGCTTCCTTTTGTCTACTCCTCTATTCAGGTTTATGTATAATTTATGTAATTTTTAGCTTGCTGGGTGAGAAGAGAAAAGAGCTCGGTGACGCTGCAAACAAGCTGAAGAACGGATTGCAAAAGATCGACGAAACAAGAGCCAAAGTGGAAGTGATGTCTGTGGAACTTGAGGAGGCGAAGACAAAAGTCGCTGAATTCCAGAAGCAGTGCGAGGAGTACCTGGTCATTATTGTGCAGCAGAAGCGAGAAGCTGATGAACAACAAAAGGTAAAGAAGAAACCAAAAGAGCTGGAGAACTAGACACAAACATCCAGAAATTAGCTAGGTTATATAGAATGAAAATTAGACCACAGAATAGTATTTCTAAGTGGTCTTTCTGAGGTTTTTGTCCGAGTAAAAATAGTTTAAGGGTATTTTACTTTTGGTTGTAGTCTTAGGAATAATTTTCCTAGTTGTGAGGATCCGCAGCTTGGTTATAAGGTACGTGCCTTAATATTTGACTGTGTGAAATTCTAATAATTGAAAATCATTTCGACCCACTAAATCTTGTAATAAAGATTTGTTCGGCAATGTAGCATCTTGTAATAATATTGATGAGTTTACTTGCTGTTAGATGTGAAAAAATAATAAAGAAATATTATTCTTTTAAGTTGTGAATAACCCCAAGTTTTTCAGACCTCTATGTCAATTATTTTCTTTAGTCTGTTCAAGCAAGAAGCGAAAAGATTGCTGAAGAGGAGGTTCGTTGCCAGTCGATGGCTGATGCCGCTCAGCAGGATCTGGCAGAGGCATTGCCAGCTCTGCAAGAAGCAGTCAAGGTAACAATGATGGCTAAATCATCAATATTAACTGTCATTCAGTCAGTCATATTGAACATCAGTGATCATGTGTTTTTTTTAGGGTATGCTCAGACTAATGCTTACAGTCGCAGGTATGACTCAAGGCTGTGTGTGTGTCTCACACTTAATGTGAACATGTTGGGTGTTCACACTTAAATGGGTTGACCTAACTCAGACAGTCAAAATCATCAAGCTTTAACATTGCATTTCTAAGTGATGGTCATTTTTTGGTCAGATACTGCAGTGAGATGATATTATCAACTGAAGGTCAACCCAGTTTCATCTGAGGTCCCTTGTCTAAATTGTGTTGTTGTGAGTTTGAGCAATTACAAGCTACAGTAGGTGCAATGTTAACCGAGCTGATTCAAGTCTGGCATGACTCTAGTCTGACCATAGCCCTGTAGTACCTTTAAACCTCTTTAACCTGTGAAGATGATGATTATTATTATTATTATTACGTAAAGTGCATTGAATTTATCATTCTAGGCTCTAGAATCTCTAAACAAAAAGGATGTAGGGGAGATCAAGTCTTATGCCAAGCCCCCTGGCCTAGTGGAGAAGGTAATGGAAGCAGTTATGATCCTCAAAGGATGTGAACCCACTTGGGGTGAAGCTAAAAGACAACTTGGTAAGTTTATTAGCTCCGATGAGGAGCTCTAGAAACACTTGACTAATTGATTAATAGATCTTTTTTGTATAGGTGGTCATAGGGCCAATATACTCTACTGCCTCTATTATACTGCCCTCATCGGAGCTTTCGAGATTACCAGAACTTGTTTAGAATAGGAAGAAAGAATCCTGATACAGAAGATAATTATACTGGAAACACAAGTGTATACAAAACGTAAAAAGAAGTATACAATTTTTGTTTTCAACCTTAATGAGGAATATCACACATTCTGAAATGAACTTGATAAAGTTCTAAACAAATTTTCTATCCAGAATAAATGGTTCATTTATTGTGAAATAAATAGAGGAGCAAACAGATGATTATCTTTGTTAATTAATAATAATTGTGTATGTTGCTTACCATCCATTTAATATTCTTTCAAGCCACAGTACAGTATGTGCAGCCCATTTATAAAAATGATGATGACAAAGATTTGAAATAATGTTCAGTATATTTTTCTCTAATCCTAGGCAACCAAAACTTTATCAAAGATCTTGTTGAGTTTGACAAGGAAAACATGTCAGACCGTGTCCTGAACAAGATCGGCAAATACTGCTCCCAGCCAGACTTCCAACCAGACATAATTGGTCGTGTTTCAACTGCCGCCAAGTCGCTTTGTATGTGGGTACGTGCCATGGAGGTGTATGGCCGTATCTACCGTGTGGTGGAGCCCAAGAGGCAGAGACTGAACAACGCTACTTCCCAGCTGCAGGAGAAGCAGGCAATTCTAGCTGAAGCCAAAGCTAAGCTTAAAGAGGTGCTGTAATCCTTTAGTCATTTAAATAGTTTCATTCTTAAAAGAGTTCATTATGCAGGCACTTTTTTTTATATGTAATAGCAATGATGGTTTGCCCTACCTGGCATGTTATCGTACTGAATGCTCAGTATGTTCCCAAATACTTACGAAAAAAATATCGCAACTGATTCAGGAGGGAATCGAACCCACAACTTCAAAATAATTAGCCTGGTGTCTTAACCACTAGACCACTGACAAGGCACTTAGTGGCTAGTGTTAAATCCAATGCCCAAGTAGCAGCTGGTACTGCAATGCTATGTTTATGTATATGATATGGATTGGCCCGACCCAAAGTCCGAGCACCAGGTGTCCGTCTGCTTCCAACAACATCGCACTAATTAGGTATTTGCATGATAAATTCATGTAGCTTGTTTGTGTTTCGGTATTTGTTTCTCAAATCAGACTTGGCATACACTTTCACAGTTTAGCTGTGAGACTGATGATGATATCATGGCAATAAAGAGAACCTGAACCTGAAGAAAAAATGCATATCGTCCTTTTAATTTCTCTTTTTTCTCTAGGTTACAGATCGGATGGAGAACTTGAAGAAACAGTATGATGAGAGATTAAGGGAGAAAGAAGAACTGAGAATAAAAGCAGAACAGATGGAAATCAAATTGGACAGAGCTGGCAAACTTGTGTCAGGTTTAGCTGGTGAAAGAGAACGTTGGGAGATGAATGTACAGGTACATGTTTTTCTCACTTACAGGAGTCCAAGTCTCTAGCAATTTGCGAGGTTCCGAGAAATCAGGACGGCCTCCTGCACTCCCACAAGCCTGCAAAAATCTCACAGAAAATAACCCACCTTCCGCAAATTCATTTTTTATTATTTTGATATCAATTGTCACCCTGAAGTCAGTGTCAATGAGTGTCATCATGCACAGAAAAAAGTTAGATAATATGTTGAGTAGGCTCATTTAACCAGGTCTTCTGGAAGTGACTTTTTCCAACCTGAGACCCATGCATTTTTCATTGTATTCTGCCTGTAGAAATGAAGGGTACATAATTTCTATATTTTTCCCTTTTACTCTGTATGAGACAGGGTGGTCTATTTCTTCATTATGCCCATTAACATTCTTATCTTCTGAAAAGTTATTTAGAAGAGTTTTAGTATTATCACATTTGTTGATGTCTGCCATTTCATCTTCACAGGAACTTGAGGAAAACATGGTCTATTTGGTTGGTGACTGTTTGGTCGCCGCTGGTTTTCTATCATACATGGGACCATTCCTGTCTGAGTACCGTGACCATCTGGTCAAGGAAGTATGGTTGAAGGAAGTCCGCAAGCTCACCATCCCCTGCAGTCCTAACTTCACCTTTGCAACATTCTTGTCAAAGCCTACAGCTGTGAGGGACTGGAACATCCAAGGATTGCCATCAGATTCCTTCTCAACAGAAAATGGTGTCATTGTTACCAGAGGAAACAGGTAACTTGTTAAAAGTTTCACTTAGTTTTCTTTTAAAGCTCTGTCCAGATTATCAAATTTTCTTTGCCTAAAAACTATTGTATGCCCATATATAGTCATGATGTGCCCATATATAGTCATGATGTGCCTATATTTGGTCATGATGTGATGTCATCATGACCATATTTAGGCATGTCACATGTTTTTGTCAAATAAAATGTGATAGTCTGGATAGGGCTTTATTAAAAAAATGTGTGTATAGTAAAGTGTTCATATTTTTTAAATGAGCAGTTTTGAAGATAGAAGCTTTGAAAAAAGTTGGTTTTTTCCAGTTGCTCATACATACATAAAATAACATAGCATTTATTAACCATCAATCGGACGCTCTTTGCTAGTTCAACAAATAAAAATAGAAATAAATTTATTGTTCAACTATTAACATATCAAATCAAACGATACTTATGTACTTCTCTCAACACAAAGTTAGTCACATCTTTTGGCACTCAAAACTAGAGTTTATAGTAGCATCAAGATTAAAACTTCATTACCTGTTTTAGTGATTATTTGAATATAATTTTACCAAAAGTGTACCTCATGTTGTTGAGAGACTTTTTTTGTTTTTTATTAATCTTGACTTCATACCACTTTTTGACCAGGTGGCCATTGATGGTGGACCCTCAAGGCCAGGCCATTAAATGGATCAAGAATATGGAGGGAAAGCGACAGCTAAAGCTAATTGACCTTCAGCAACACGACTACCTTCGCACACTAGAGAATGCCATACAATATGGCTTTCCTGTGCTTCTCCAGAATGTCCAGGAAGAATTGGATCCATCACTATCGCCGATTCTCAACAAGGCTGTTGTAAAGATTGGTAAGTTAAAAAGAGTCCTACACATTAATTTGATAGGTAAGAAGGCAGGCCCACCTGATAGTTGCAAATCCTGCTAATGGTCAGTTTATATATATTGAGGAAGTTCATATATATTGAGGAATGTACACGTTCCAATTACATTTTTTGGATGGATAGAATCTCAGATTATTATTAAGAATTAATGCACTTGCCTTAAAGTATTTGTCAATTGTTCACACAACAGCAAAATATTTTTTAAGAGTTATGTTTATTACTGTCACAAAATGTTAATTTAATCTTACTGTCAAAAAATATTACTCATAATGTATGTACAGTATGGCGCAAGTTGTAGTTGAATTTATATTGCACATAATTTTATACATTAATTATATAATAATTATTAAGCACACTAAAGTGAAAGGAAGAGAAAAGGAAGGAAATGATGTTTCTTACTGTCAAAAAATAATACTTATTATTTAGGTAACCGAATGACAATCCGAATTGGCGATAAAGAGCTAGACTACAACCCAGAGTTCAAGTTCTACATCACCACCAAACTGAGCAACCCTCACTACACACCAGAGATCTCCACCAAGACCACCATCGTCAACTTTGCTGTCAAAGAACAGGGTCTGGAGGCCCAACTGCTAGGTATTGTTGTCCGTAAAGAACGGCCAGAGTTAGAAGAACAGAAGGACAACTTGGTGATGAACATCGCTGCTGGGAAGAAGAAGTTGGTTGAGCTTGAGGATGAAATTCTAAGGTACTTTTGTCTGCTTCTTTTATGATTGTACAGTCACATAAACCTGTACCCTGAGACGTTCATTGATTCTCGACCTGATTAAATAACCCATGCCTCTGTCTGTGAGGGAGGTAGTTTCATAGAATGACATGGGTTTTGCTTGTCGATCACAGATGCAGCGTAGAACCAAAAATAACCTCCAAATCCAAATCCTGCTGGATCTGTATTACTAGACACTCCTACGAACCTGTATTTTTATTATTGATATAATCATTTATTTTGTTGTTGTTATGATGAAACTCTTTTTGGCATCAGGTTGTTGAATGAAGCCACAGGATCCTTACTGGATGATGAACAACTGGTGAACACTCTCCAAACCTCTAAGAAGACCTCTGAAGAAGTGTCTGAGCAACTTCAGGTATCGGAACAAACAGAAGCAAAGATTGATGCTGCAAGAGAGGTAATTATTACACTCTTTCCTGACTATCAAATTTTCTTTCACAAAAAACTGGTGTATGCCCATATATAGTCATGATATGCCCATATATTGTCATGATATGCCCATATATATTCATGATGTGCCTATATATGGTCATGATGTGCCTATATATAGTCATGATATGCCCATATATAGTCATGATATGCCCATATATAGTCATGATGTGCCTATATATGGTCATGATGTGCCTATATATAGTCATGATGTGCCCATATATAGTCATGATGTGCCTATATTTGGCCATGATATGTCATCATAACCATATTTAGGCATGTCACATGTTTTTTGTCAAATAAAATTTGAAAGTCTGGACAGGGCGTATTATATATAATTTGTTTAGCTCCCATCAAAATCAAAACCCTTCTATACTTTATTCCAAATAATATAATAAATTCAACATAAAGCTATGTCCACACTATCCATACTATCAAATATTATGTGACAAATTTGTGTGATATGAACATATATGGGCATGATGATGTCACATTACACCCAAATATGGTCATATCACCTTTATTTGTCACATACAATTTGATAGTGTAAACAGAGGTTTTGATATAAAAAAAAATTAACAAACCATCATTATGTAGAAATGTTTTGCATGCTGATATATTTATACAATGTTTGATTCTGTTTGACAGGGTTACCGATCATGCGCCCAGCGAGCGTCAATCCTCTTCTTTGTTCTGAATGACATGGGACGCATTGACCCCATGTATCAGTTCTCATTGTACTCGTATATAGACCTCTTCAACACGTCGATTGATAAGAGTCAGCGCACCCCGCAGTTGGAACAGAGGATCATCAACCTAAATGATTACCATACGTTTGCTGTGTACAGGTAAGCAGCTATGGGGGAGTTGGGTGGTTGAGCGGTAATGCAAGAGCACTGCTAACTTCAACCTTAACATTGACACTGGACAGGTCAAGCCCCCCCCCCACCAGACAGAGCTTGTCGAGCAGTCAGACCATAAAACATCAAAATAGGCCCACACCAAGCCAACACGTCTGTCACAGTCTGAGAGTGCCATTTTCGGCCATCCACAGGTTGATATTCTTTAAAAAAATCTCATTTGGGAGGGGGAACCTCACTTAATCCCTTCCTCCAACTCGAGCCTACGAGCTCAAGTCGCCCCTGTCGGACAACTTAGCCCCCCCCCCCAGAAAATATATCCTACATCCTCCACTGTTTGAACCGCTCCTCGTCCAGGGCTCGTTTTGGTAGAACCAAGTCTTATCTGATAAGAACTGAAAATGGAGGTGGCCAGCTGGCTTGTGTGCACTTTAAAGAACCCATTGTATTCAGTATAGTAGCAGGTTACCCCGATGTTATGGTTCAATTCAGCCAATCTCATTGTGAATGGTGAGATCATGCTACGAAGTGCCTCTCTGTGGCTACTACAGTAGTCACGAACCACATCTATACGAAATTCAGGACAAAGATGCTGCAATGGGTTGTTCTCCTAACTTTAGTTTTATCTACAGGGATTACAGTGCTTAACTGGATGAACCAATAAATGCCATTGTACGCTGAGAGGAACTTAACTCAAAAAATAATAGATTTTCTATCCCAACATCATTATCATTATTATTAACACTATCATAATCATTTTCAATTTCATCTTCTGTATCATTATTATGTATCTATCACCATCATCCCGTTAATAATCTTTGATAATTCCTGTCATTAGGTTTACTTGCCGTGGTTTGTTTGAGAAGCACAAACTCTTGTTCTCATTCCAAATGTGTGCCAAGATATTAGAAGCATCCGGCAAGTTGAATATGGAAGAGTACAACTTCTTTCTCAGAGGAGGCATCGTAAGTTACAGTTTGTCCGTAATTCAGACATTTTGATTTAAGCTTTTTTCTTTTCTTTTCTCTCCTTAAAGTTTCTTAGGGTTCTGTGTAAACGATCACTATTTGCAAAAATAGATTTTTGAGGTTTTGTGTCATTATATTTTCGGTGTGTGTGTGTCTTATTGTTATTGTGATAATTATTATTCAAATTCAGTTTTATTCGTTGCTGTAGGTACTTGATAGCGAGGGTCAGATTGATAATCCTTGCACCAACTGGCTTGCAGACTCATCTTGGGACAACATCACTGAACTCGATAAGTAAGTAACTTTTAATTCCTATTAAAACTATTGAAATCAACAATTTTGTTACAAAATAGATTAAAAACAATCAATCTCTCTTCTCTCCACCCCAATTCTTAAAATAAAATCATTACCATCAGCAATTTACTCTGTTATGTGAATAATAACCTGGATAACCAAACATTTGCCCTTAATTTAAACACCCAAGAAAATAACAGAATCATCCTTCCGAACGTGCAGTATATTTTTCCTATTCATCAAGTTGTTATTTCTTTGTGTTTTCATCAAGTAATACTGTATGCATGTATAACATATCATTCCATTCAAGTTCATGTGATGCAGCAATAAGGCTTTGGGCTGACAAATGAGAGGCTAACCATTTGTTAGTGTCATTGGGCAAGGCACTTCATCTGTATTGCTTCTCTCCATCCAGGGGTTTAATAGGTACCTGGTAGTATAGAGAAGTAATATGTGTGTACATATAGCAGCATGACTGAACAGGTGGCACATTGTTCCTTATGAGGCCATCTGTATTGTTTCTTTCCATCCAGGGGCTTAATAGGTACCTGGTAGGATAGAGAAGTAGTATGTGTGTACATATAGCAGCATGACTGAACAGGTGGCACATTGTTGCTTATGAGGCCATCTGTATTGCTTCTCTCCATCCAGGGGTTTAATAGGTACCTGGTAGGATAGAGAAGTAATATGTGTGTACATATAGCAGCATGACTGAACAGGTGGCACATTGTTGCTTATGAGGCCATCTGTATTGTTTCTTTCCAGGTTTTTAATATGTACCTGGTAAGGTAAAGAAGTATTGACCAGCCTTCTTCACCTTTGTGTGGTCTGTGTCGGCTCTTCCTTGGCTAATAATGATACTATCATCAATTTTTCTATGTAGTTTTTAGATTTAATTACTTTTTTCTTTCATATTTTCTCTCCATTTTTTCTCCATCAGGAAGTAAGTAGTACTGTAATTCCATGGTGATATAGTATAAGATTTTTTTTCTTGCATCCTTCCAACCCAACATACAATAATCTGTTTTCAGTACTGTTAATGTATTAATTATGCATGTGCATATCAAATATATTTCTTAATGAATGATTTATTACCTTGGTTTAAATTATTATGTCAATGCATGTGCTATTTTTAATATGTAATTCCAGTTTAATATTGTCTGTCATCTTTGATGTTTGGCTTCAACTTTTTGTATTATTACATAAGTCGGCACACCCACATACAACACACAATAAAAAACACATACACCACCGCACATTCACTGCCAACCTTATGCACCCACCCCTACCCAACCCATACTCAAACTTGCCTCCCACTACTTCTTCCCCTCCCTTCAAACACACAATTATGGTATCAGTATGTAAGTTTTCAATTTTTGTATCATTCTTATTTTGATAAAGTACAAATTTATGACAAATAAAACTGACTGATTTTTATATGTCATTTAGACTTGCCAACTTCCATGGTTTGGTGCAATCATTTGAGCAGTACCCACGTGATTGGCACATATGGTACACCAGCGCTGAACCAGAAACCGCACCATTGCCAGGTAAACCAACACCAACTGAATTCTCTGAACAGGACATGAATATTTTTTTTTTGTCAAACAACTCAATGGTTCATTCACAATTATCAAAATTTTAACAAGTGTAAAAACAGTACATTATGGAGAAGGAAAAGATACCTTTGCACACTTGTATTGATTCAAATTATTATATTACTATTCAGGTGAATGGGATAATGCCTGCAATGAGCTGCAGCGAATGTTGATTGTGAGATCTCTACGACCTGATCGGGTCTCATTCTGTGCAACGTCCTTCATTATCAACAACCTTGGATCTAAGTAAGTAGTGCTGCCACAGAAAACCACACTCTGACATTAAATAAGCAATATAGTTTAAAAGTTACAATTTCATGCCAAACATCTTATTTTTCACAATATTAGGTAACGAAGCATCAAGTACATGTTTGCTTTGAGGTTGTACCATTTAGGTCTGTATGGTCTAATAGTATGATGCTCACCTTGATAGGGAGAGGCTGCATGTTCGAATCCTGCTATAGACACTTTCAGGCAACTGAAAAAGGAACTAACATCATCTGAGCACTGTTATTATTATTTATCTATTTGCTCTAAGATATGTGTACACATTGTTTTAGATGAGAACGGCAAAGCAATTCTCTATTGTTCACTAACCCATAAAATAATTAATGTGTTGTTCATCTTCATCTTTTCTCTGTATTAGATTTGTTGAACCTCCAGTGCTGGACATGAAGTCTGTAGTAGATGACTCAACAACTAAAACACCCCTCATCTTTGTATTGTCAACTGGAGTGGTAAGATATGATGTTCTTTATTTCAGAACACCCAACATCATGTTTCAATAGTCAATTGTCGTATGTACCAGATGTTCATTGTTATGATGGATTGATTGATTGATTGATTTATTAATTGATTAATTGATTTAATTATCATTCTCCTTTTTTCATTTCTCCATCTTTCCTTGGTCCATCCTTTCTATTGTAGTGAAAGAGCTTACCAGAATAAATATAGATTTGTATTTTATTGTATTGTAATGTATAATAATTTGTCATCCATTTTTTTCCGCCAAATGTTCTTTATTTATATATAAATTACAAATTTGTCACTATACATTAAAAATATATATTGATCAGTGGCGTGACTAGAGATAACATGGACAAAAAGCCCAACACATCAAGTGGTCATCTCTAAACACCCTGGCCAATAAAAATACAATAAAATATATTATAGTGCATATAAAGAAGAAGAAAACGAGAAAACGATAAACAGAACAAGATACAATTTTACCTATTTGTTTTTTGTTTTTAGGACCCTACAAGCATGCTTCTACAGCTGGCTGAGCAGAGCAACATGGCTCACAGATTCCACGCCCTTTCCCTCGGACAGGGCCAGGCACCCATTGCAACCCGAATGATCAAAGAAGGTGTGAGAGAGGGTAACTGGGTGTTCTTGGCTAACTGTCATCTGTCTCTGAGCTGGATGCCTCAGCTGGATAAGCTGGTGGAGCAGCTCCAGGTGGAGGAGCCGCATCAGGATTTCAGACTTTGGTTGAGTAGCAGTCCTCATCCTGAGTTCCCAATCTCCATTCTGCAGGCTGGAATCAAAATGACAACAGAACCACCCAAGGTCAGCTTTTATGATGAGGATATACGCTGGTGATGGTGATAATGATGACGGTGATGATGATTATAATGGTGATGAGGATGGCGATGAGGATGGCAATGATGATGCGCATAGCGATGATTATGCGAGTGTGATGTAGATCATGATGAGGATGATGATAATGATGAGGATGACAATGATGATAAGAAAGAGGATGCAGATGATGATAGGATGATGAAGATAATAATGATGATGATGGCAATGATGATGATGAAGTTGATAATATAATATACGCATTTTAAACTGCTTGAGCAAAAAAAAAGGAAGAAAGTGATTAATACATTGAAATTTATTTTAATAAATTTACTGTATGATATTTATGAACAGGGATTAAAGGCGAATATGAAACGTCTGTACTATCTGATCGCTGACCAACAATTCAACCGATGCCGCAAGCCAGAGAAGTACAAGAAACTTCTCTTTGCTCTCTGCTTCTTCCATAGCATTCTGCTAGAAAGGCGCAAATTTCTGATGCTTGGCTGGAACATCCAGTACGGATTTAATGACTCCGACTTTGAGGTATGTCAGTCATTCACATAATTTTTCTAGTGTGTCCATTACATATGTGTCCATTCCATTACAGTGTCGTGTGTCCATTACACCCGTTTCCTACATGTGTCTGTTACACCTGTCTCCTCCATACGCATGTGTCTGTTTACATGCACCCATCCATTA